CCAACCCCTATCACTACCCAACCCCTATCACTACCCCAATCCCTATCACTACCTCTACCCCAACCCCTATCACTACCCCAACCCCTATCACTACCCCAACCCCTATCACTACCCCAACCCCTATCACTACCCCTACCTCTACCCCAACCCCTATCATTACCCCAACCCCTATCACTACCCCTACCCCAACCCCTATCACTACACCTACCTCTACCCCAATCCCTATCACTACCACTACCCTAACTCCTATCACTACCCCTATCACTACCCCTATCACTACCCCAACCCCTATCACTACCCCAACCCCTATCACTACCCCAACCCCTATCACTACCCCAACCCCTATCACTACCCCAACCCCTATCACTACCCCAACCCCTATCACTACCCCAACCCCTATCACTACCCCAACCCCTATCACTACCCCAACCCCTATCACTACCCCAACCCCTATCACTACTCCAACCCCTATCACTACCCCAACCCCTATCACTACCCCAACCCCTATCACTACCCCAACCCCTATCACTACCCCAACCCCTATCACTACCCCAACCCCTATCACTACCCCAACCCCTATCACTACCCCTATCACTACTCCAACCCCTATCACTACCCCAACCCCTATCACTACCCCAACCCCTATCACTACCCCAACCCCTATCACTACCCCAACCCCTATCACTACCCCAACCCCTATCACTACTCCAACCCCTATCACTACCCCAACCCCTATCACTACCCCAACCCCTATCACTACCCCAACCCCTATCACTACCCCAACCCCTATCACTACCCCAACCCCTATCACTACCCCTATCACTACTCCAACCCCTATCACTACCACTACCCTAACCCCTATCACTACCCCTACCCCAACCCCTATCACAATCCCTATCACTACTCCAACCCCTATCACTACCACTACCCTAACCCCTATCACTACCCCTATCACTACCACTACCCTAACCCCTATCACTACCCCTACCCCAACCCCTATCACTACCACTACCCTAACCCCTATCACTACCCCTACCACTACCCTAACCCCTATCACTACCCCTATCACTACCCCTATCACTACCCCAACCCCTATCACTACCCCTATCACTACTACTCCAACCCCTATCACTACCACTACCCTAACCCCTATCACTATCCCTATCACTACTCCAACCCCTATCACTACCCCTACCCTAACCCCTACCCCAACCCCTATCACTACCCCTATCACTACCACTACCCTAACCCCTATCACTACCCCTATCACTACCCCAACCCAAACTACTCCTTGGCCCTGGCCCAGCCTCGTCCATCCCGACTGCAACCCCTCCTGGACCCATCCCACTTGCTCTCCTTGAGCCATGACTACACTGCCACCTTTCAACAACCCCACTCAACCTTACGTGCACTTATCATAACTGTTGTGAAACGTGCCTTGGATCAAGGTGCCCTACATATATACATTTATATACATGTATACATATATACATTTCCTCTGCTTCTGTTGCCTTCTCTCGGCATTCCCACGCGAGTGAATCGTGTTCGTCTCTCGAGAATCCTCACGGGCACCAACCTCTGAGAGCACCTCGCGAACCCCATCGTGGGCACACAGAACCACCTGTCAAGTCCCCTGGTGGGTCTTCACGTCCCAACACTGCGTCTTCTTCCTCCACAGGCCTCTGCGCGTCGATGCCCTGGGCGAGAAGACTGCCAGGGCCCTCACCAGCGAATCTTCCGTAACGCGGACGCGTCGAGGGACTTTTATGACGAGGGCATCCAAGGTCACCGGCAGACACGGGTGGTCGGGCAGCCTCGGGACCTCATCGACGCCGACCTGATGGAGCAGGTGAGATGCTTCGCAGTAGCCAGGGATTCACTTCTCACTTCATGTTTCACCCCGCCCGCCCACCCGGGTCGCTGGTACAGAAGGAAGCCGTCTGACGTGACGAATAGCCACAGCCACGCCGTTAGAGACGGCGTGGCTGTGGTGGGCCCGGACCAAGTCGCCGGTAGACTGCAGTAGGCACGCGAGTAGTAGCCACTACCATACCGAGAGGTGTACTGAGCGTGGTGTTGTGTACTGAGTGTGGTGTTGTGTACTGAGCGTGGTGTTGTGTACCGAACATGGTGTTGTGTACTGAGTGTGGTGTTGTGTACTGAGCGTGGTGTTGTGTACAGAGCGTGGTGTTGTGTCCTGTGTGTGGTGTTGTGCACTGAGTGTGGTGTTGTGTACCGAGCGTGGTGTTGTGTACCGAACATGGTGTTGTGTACTCAGTGTGGTGTTGTGTACTGAGTGTGGTGTTGTGTCCTGTGTGTGGTGTTGTGTACTGAGCGTGGTGTTGTGTACTGAGTATGGTGTTGTGTACTGAGCGTGGTGTTGTGTACCGAACATGGTGTTGTGTACTGAGTGTGGTGTTGTGTACTGCGCGTGGTGTTGTGTCCTGTGTGTGGTGTTGTGTACTGAGTGTGGTGTTGTGTACTGAGCGTGGTGTTGTGTACAGAGCGTGGTGTTGTGTCCTGTGTGTGGTGTTGTGTACTGAGTGTGGTGTTGTGCACTGAGCGTGGTGTTGTGTCCTGTGTGTGGTGTTGGGTACTGAGTGTGGTGTTGTGTAGCGAGCGTGGTGTTGTGTCCTGTGTGTGGTGTTGTGTACTGAGTGTGGTGTTGTGTACTGTGCTGCGCTCTATAGTACGAGTATACGTGGACAGTCCTCGCCCGTGACATGCGACAACCCAGCAGCACTTGTCGAACAGGCCACTCACTGCTGATGAGACCCAGATACTGGAAACTGGTCCAAACCACAGAGCAATGGGCAAAAATATGGCTTTATTTTCATTGGTATGAGTGGAACAGACATTTTTCTGTTCGTGGTGTCGTTCTTAAAGGTATCTGTCATTTATTTTAATATTTGGTTTGTCTAGGATGTGATTGATTCATGACACACAATGGCATAAGCCAGCCTTAATCTGCAAATTCTTTTTTGACATGTAACGGATGGATTTGACACCGTTAAACCACACGCAGGGAGACAGATTTTAATGCAAATAAGTATCTAATTTAAAAATCAATAAATACAAAATCAGAGTACCGGTCATTAAATATGCAACTGACACTGGGTCCAAGGAATACTTTATACTACAGGTTCCTTGTTTGCTTGGTTTCGGAGCGTACTCACATCGCTCCCCAGTAGGATTCACGTCGTTTTTTTTCTGTACTTAGTTCAGAATCAGAATCATAACATGTATTTATACTGGAGGAATCCGATGAGCTATAAAGCTCGTTTTCACAGATGTCCAGTAGGAGCCACGGGGTAAGAACGTTACAACAAACAGTACAAAAACATGATAGGAGTGCAAAGTGCAAGAGAGGTAAACAAATCACACAAACAAATACAACACTAAAACATCCCCATCCTACCAGGCAAAGTCCACTGAGATATGAACTTATTTTTCAAAAGCGACCTGGCCACAAAATGATAGCTCCACAAAATGCCTTATCATTTGGACAATACTATACCAACAAAATACTGTAATCGATGTATTTTAAACTCAATATAACCTGAATAGTTCCCTGGAGAGCACGGCCAAAAGAAGTTGTTGGTTGCGACTACTCGCTCCGTATACCTCTCGATGGAGAGCTAAAACAATTTGTCAACGAATAATACGTTTGAGCCCTAGAATAAATGTTTGTCATTCTGCGTTTAATTCGTGAACTAATCTATTAAGTGTCTACGTAAACATTTCCATGCACTCGGGCTTAATTCCTCACTCGAGCAGGGATTATGGGCCTAACACACTACCATGCCACTGTAGTACAGCACAAGGTGCTCCTATCCACAATGATCATTGTAAGTTTTTGTGGAGGGGAACCACAGTGAGTCGTGTAACTCAATTATTTTACAGGAAGTTCCTGCATACGATTTACAATGTTTAAAGATGTTTTCAGCCAATATATTTTGACAAATCGGAGGAAACCAGAGCACCCGCAGAAAATCCACTCGCGCGAGGGGGCAACGCTCTATCCCCGTACGGATGGAAACGGGTGGCGGTGGGTCCACAATTGCTGCACCGCGCCTTCTCCTGGCGGGTCACGGTATAATGGCACCTCCTCAACACCCTCGAAAACGGAGTTTCACAATTTGTGTGCATGATCCACCAACCCTTGGCTTCACAGTGCTGGACTTAGAGGCGTGCATAGCCACCACCTATACATCAGTATACAATAATATTAAATAGCATTACATTATTGTACCGTGTACTGTATTGTGTGCCAAACTTGTTAGTTTGTTGTCCTACATATATACATTTCCTCTACTTCTGTTGCCTTCTCTCGGCATTCCCACGCGCACCTCCGATTATTACGGTTGGCTAAGTGCAGTGCGAAACAAATTCAACGTGCGTACACAACTTTTACTGCCTTGCCCAAGCCTGGGAATTGGTGTCCTTATGCAATTTGAACTTATCTTCTTTGGTTCTTTTATTTTATCAATTTATTATTTTATTCTCATTCTACGTGACTTTACCGAAAGAACCAAAGAAGATGAATCATTGCAGTCACGAAAGCTTTAAATCGAAATTTGAACTTACTTGATCTATTTCATATATGTATCTTTAGTGCTTTGATTTCCTTTCCAATACTTTGCACTCTGATCGGTGTTTTTTTTTGTAGGTATTGTTTGTCGTTGTAACTTTCTGACGCAACCCTACTGGACACGATGCAAAAAAAGAGCTTCATAGCTCATCGGATTTTTGTTACCGAGGCTCATTCTGATCGTGAGGACAACGTGGCAGGCTACACAGATTAATTCATTCCGGTTGAAATGAGTTACTGCTGCTGCCTGACCTTTACCCCCAACTACTCCTGACTGACCTTTACCCCCACAACTGCTGCCTGACCTTTACCCCAAACTTGCACTCGACATTGAAACTTGTGGTAAGGGGGAGCACGTGGGAGTGGAGGGACGAGTGGAGGGGCGAGTGGAGGTTCCAGCCAAGAAGAGTTGTCCCCCGCCCTCCTCGTCACGTGGGGTTCTCACCCATCCCATCCCTCGCGGGCTCGCTCATCCCCGCGATGGTGCTCGATGGTGACACAGCCAGCGACGGCGTTGCCGCTGGCTGCTGCTGCTGGCTGTGGCTGTGCGCGGCGCTCGCCCTGCTGGGCGCGTGCTGGGCGGCGCGGCGCGCGCAGCTGTGGAGGCGCGAGGTGATCCCGCGCCTCCTCGCCGCCTTCAGCAAGCGGTACAGCCGCCTCATGGCGCGCACCAAGCGGGAGCTCTTCTCCAGCATGGACGGTCAGTGGCGGGGGGGGGGGGGGCTCAGAGGGGAGGGGCTCGTGCTGGGGGGCTGGGGGGGGCAGCTTGTGCTGGGGGGCTGGGGGGGGCAGGGGGTGGCGGGGGCTTGTGCTGGGGGCTGGGGGGGGGCAGCTTGTGCTGGGGGGTGGCGGGGGCGAGCTCTTGCGGGGAGGGGGGGGGGCTGGAGGAGCTTGGGGTTGAGGGGGGGGCACTTCCTGGCGATTGGGGGGCTCGTGCCGGGGGGAGGGGCTGGCGGGGTGGGGGGTGTTGCGTCACGGCAGGTGACGTCAGCCGTGTCGCTCCCCTCGGGGGTGCTGTTCACAAGAGGGCAGCAGGGCACTTGGGATTCAGGTTCCAGTGCGTTGCGTAACGTGTGTAGTAGAGGAGTAGAATGGAGAAGTGGCGTCACGTGCGCTGTCCAGTGCGATGACGTGACGTCATGCGCTCGGGGGGAGCAGAATGACGTCACGGCTCCTCAAGGATTAAAGGGGGGCCCCGTGACGTGAGCGGGGTCGTGGCTAGAGAGTAGGGTCGGAGAAGGGTGGAACGGGGAGCCAGGGGCAGGAGGGTAGGGATAGGGGAGAGGTCACAGTGCCAGGCTGGACGTGGCTGTGCTCCTCGCTCGGCCGTGTTGGCTGATCCCACGGCCGGCGCAGAGGAGACAGCACAGGGCAGCCGGCTGTGTCGGGACCTAGCCCGAGACCCCTAACCCCTGGGGAGTTGTTCACCCCCTGTGTGTTGTACTGTTAAGATTGGTAATAAACCCTTGGCGGAAGCCCTTAACTTACCTCAGCCTCGGGAACTTCTCAACACGTGTACCACAGCGTTGAGTGACGTGTACCACAGCGTTGACGTGTACCACAGCGTTGACGTGTACCACAGCGTTGAGTGACGTGTACCACAGCGTTGAGTGACGTGTGCCACAGCGTTGACGTGTACCACAGCGTTGAGTGACGTGTGCCACAGCGTTGAGTGACGTGTGCCACAGCGTTGAGTGACGTGTACCACACCGTTGAGTGACGTGTGCCACAGCATTGCGTGACGTGTACCACAGCGTTGCGTGACGTGTACCACAGCGTTGCGTGACGTGTACCACACCGTTGAGTGACGTGTACCACACCGTTGAGTGACGTGCACCACAGCATTGCGTGACGTGCACCACAGCGTTGAGTGACGTGTACCACAGCGTTGTGTGACGTGTGCCACAGCGTTGAGTGACGTGTGCCACAGCGTTGTGTGACGTGTGCCACAGCGTTGAGTGACGTGTACCACAGCGTTGTGTGACGTGCACCACAGCGTTGAGTGACGTGTACCACACCGTTGAGTGACGTGTACCACAGCGTTGTGTGACGTGTACCACACCGTTGAGTGACGTGTACCACAGCGTTGAGTGACGTGTACCACAGCGTTGGGTGACGTGTACCACACCGTTGAGTGACGTGTACCACAGCGTTGAGTGACGTGTACCACAGCGTTGACGTGTACCACAGCGTTGGGTGACGTGCACCACAGCGTTGAGTGACGTGCACCACAGCGTTGAGTGACGTGTACCACAGCGTTGTGTGACGTGTACCACAGCGTTGTGTGACGTGTACCACAGCGTTGGGTGACGTGCACCACAGCGTTGGGTGACGTGTACCACACCGTTGGGTGACGTGCACCACAGCGTTGAGTGACGTGAACCACAGCGTTGAGTGACGTGTACCACAGCGTTGTGTGACGTGTACCACAGCGTTGCGAGGTCGCTTTTTGTTTGTTTCAGTTCGAGTGATAGAACAAGGTGCCTTGCAGTTTGCACATTCTAGAGCCATCTTTTAAAATAAATCCACTGCTGGACGAGGGCCTCCTTATTGCGGGTCATGGTTTGCTCTCTGACCGAATGATACTTTGACCACGTGGATCATCGTTGGCGGTGGCAGGGAGCATAGGAGTGCACTACTACAATAGATTTAGCTGCACACCCCAGCCCTCGCGTCGCCCATCCAGGCACGATCCAGGCTCATGTCTGCTTAGCTTCTGAGAGCACGCACACCCGCACTATTTTCCACTGCGTACAACCGAGCCACGCCGGAACCGTGCCGAGCTGGCCCAACCCGGGTCAGGAGAGAACCTCAGCTGTGCGGCTGACGTCATAATCAATGGCATGCGTCATCAGCCCCAATGCCTGGCCCTGCTTGGCGCCAAGCCAGATTCGGATGTTTCGTGAGGCCTGCGTATATCACACTTTTTAGTTTCGGCTCAGCGTGGCAAATTGCCACTGGAAACTGCCTCTACTGTGAGCACCCCAGTGCTCGGCTTTGCTCGAATGTTCCAGTAGGGATAAGAGGGCTACACAGCTGTCAACCCAGAGGGTTTACCCCCTATTCTTGTACAGGCAAATTGAGTTTTCAGGTCCATACGGTGTACAGCCGTTTCAATACGGGCGCAAAGGAAAATGTGTTTGTCTGTTTGTGTTTCTCCCGTATGGTGGGACTTTGTAGGATGAACGTTGAGATTTATAAGGGGCACGGGGTGGCCAGTAAGGTCTGAATTGGTGTGTATTAAGGTAGGGGCACTGATACGGACGGAGTTGACAGGTATGGGCGTATGTCATGTCTCAACATTTGATTTCGCCTGGTCAACGTACGTGTTGGTGGAAATAACATTTATAGTACTGTACTGAGACTGCCCGTCGATGAAGTAAATTAATCAAGATTTAGTTTTATTTAGTCTGCATTAACGTGTGGCTAATTAACACGTGGTTAATGCAGACTTGAGTCCTTGCAAAAGGTATCGATTTGGCGTTTGAACATCTGGACGCAACTGTTTTATTGCCAGAAAAGGGTAAAACCTATTCTTACTTTTTCACACGATAAAAAAAAATTGTAATCAACTTTAATTTGTCATCGATTACTTTGCCCCCCACCGCGCCCTTTAAACATGGAAAGCCAAGCCAACCAGGACGCATATCCTGCGGGCCCTCCCATCTCCCTCCGCTCGTTAATGGGGCCCCCTAGCGGTGAGAGTGTGGTGATACATCAACGCCCCCCCCACCCCCCCACGTGTGGCTGACAGTGACCAAACAACAACCACCTACAGCGTGACGCGCACTACAGCCACGCCGAGGACGTCACAAAGCCACACCCATTACCTCCCCACCAGCGTCACCTGGAAGCAAAAGGCCGGACTATTTATTTTTTGTTTAAATAATAGGCTGCGTTACCCTTCCCGGCAATAATTTACAGGAGGTGTTAAGATGTTCGAAAGCCAAATAGACACACAGCTATTAATGCAAGCCATCAAAGTCTGCGTTAACCACACGTGCTTCGTGGTAAAACAAATATGCTGTGATAGTAATGTACCCATCGTCTTTGAAACTGATTGACCGACAGCAGAGACCGCCTTCGCGATGGCCTTGTGCCACCGGTGTTAGACCAGAGAACGACAAAAAGGCGCACTGCACAAAGGCGATGTTAATACTCTTTGGTTCTTTCGGTAAAGTCACGTAGGTGGAAAAATTAAATAAAACAAAAAATAATATTTTGATTTAAAGCTTTCGTGACTGCAGGGATTCACATTCTGTTTTATATTATTATTTTATTGCTTCCCTTCTACGTGACTTTACCGAAAGAACCAAGAATAAAAAATAATAAATCACGACGTTTCGATCGCAACACAAGCGGTCGTCCTCGGGCGAAAAAATTATAATACAGCGCTTGTTCAGCAGTTCCACTGTTCAGCAGTTCCACTGCTGGATGATATTTTTTCCGCCTGAGGACGACCGCTCGTGTTGTGATTGAAACTTCGTGATATATTATATGTTTTATTTTATTTTTCTACCCACGTGACTTTACCGACAGAACCAAAGAGTATGCATTACTGCGGTTAACGCAAGCTTCAAATCAAGAGAAGATGTAAATAATAATGAAGCATTAATTGCTCGGTTTGAGCAGTTATATCAGTTTCAAAGACAATGTTTTGCCACAAGCACGTGTGGTTTTTGCAGACTCGATGCCTTGCGATAGGTGCCTATTTAGTGTTTGAACATCTTAACGCTTCCCGTATTATTTCCAGAAAGAGTAAAGTCAGTTATATTTTTCATCATTTTGATCCCGCCAAAAAGGTTTGCAAAGATATTTTTCCCCAAACATTTTAATCTCATCGGATTATCCAAGTAATAATATTACTCAATTGGGACTACATACATAGCAATAATCGCCCCGACTAGCAAACTAATGCCGCAAGAAGGTCACTCTTGCAAATGAGACTCTCCTGGTCTCGTTGAGTTCCAACCTGGTTCACCAAAACAACTTTGAACCAAATGACGTTTATGCCAATATGACACAACAACGGACGTACATTTGCGGTATTTTCTGGCCATTTTCCTGGGTTTGCCATGTGTGGCAACACAAGCGGATTTCGGCCAATGCGTGAATGAGTTCGTTTTAATAGCGAGAGACATGGGGCGGATTTAAACTGTGGAGCCTGGTCCAGGAGTAACATCATAACGTTACAGTAAACATAATCATCTGCCTCACGTTACAGAAACCAGATCCATCTAAATTTTGATTTAAAGCTTTTGTGACTGCAGGGATTCATATTCTTGGTTCTTTCGGTAAAGTCACGTAGAAGGGAAACAATACAATAATAAAAATATTATAAAAAAATTCTCACGACGTTTCGACTGATGATGATGATTGCTTGCTTGCGTTGCAGTCGAAACGTCGTTATAATTGTATTGTTTTATATTTGTATTATTTTATTGTTTCCCTTCTACGTGACTTTACCGAAAGAACCAAGAAACCAGATCCATATAGCCCAGTGTGTCTGCTCACTCCACACTGTTGGGGCCATACTGTACGATTGAGAAAGAGGAGGGGGGGCTGCTTGGGGTTCTGGAGAGACACAGAGAGATGGAGACGCAGAAATCATTAATATCAGAGACAATAATAGACACGGAGAGATATGGAGTAGATACAGACACGGATACATACAGGGAGAGAGATGTGAAGGGAGACATAAACAATGACATTAAAAAACAAGACACATTTGGGAGGAGACAGCTGTTGGCAAATTGTACGAGATGGACACTGACACAAAGTGGCAAAGTGCAGAGAGAGATCGACAACAGGATTTTGTGAGTGGTTTGGGGGTCATGTGTTGTGCGCAAATCGCACGTGGTTAAAAATAGCACTTCGCATTCATAACACTTACACGACCCACTCCATGCACCACAGCATACTCTGTGTGCCAACATTCCTAACCACAGTGTAAGGGAGGCGGGTGGCTCTCAGGAGTTTGTGGTTGTAGCAGAGTAGTGTCACAATGCCCGTGGGTGTAAAATCTAAGCTTTTCATCCCCCAGTGCATCATGCGTCATCCCACGCACCTTGGCACTCAGCCCGAATATTGCGATTAGCACGGTTGGCTACGTACGGTGTGAAAGAATTTCAACATACGTACGTACGTACGGGAAATTATTTTACTGGTAGGAACCTCCTGGTTACACCAGCCCACAGGGGATTATTGTGTCCGTCCGTCCGTCGTGCATCCAAAATGGGAGGGGTGGGGCTGGGTGGAGAGGGGAGGGTGGGGAGGGGCTGGGTGGGGAGGGGCTGGGTGGGGAGGGTGGGGCTGGGTGGGGGGTGGGAGAGGTGGGGCTGGTCACCCCGTGGTGCCCTTATAAAACTCAACGTTTAACCTACTCACGCCGGCTTGTGCCCACCCTCACAGTCGGGCATATTTGTGGAATACACCACGTGGTGCCGCCGTTGACCCTGGCCATTGACCGAGCAACCCAACGTTCCTACCAGCTCCCTCCGCAGGAGAATGTGTTTCATTAAAAAAAAGTGGATAAATAATTATGGTAGAAGCCAAGTCCATAACACTATGTAACACGATTTTTGTCCCTGGGTAAGTGTTATTTTTTAATTGCTTATGCCTAAAAAGTATAGAAGATGGATATTATTCCCCACAAACTTTGATTTTGTGATTTGTAAACGTGACCATCTTGTCAGATGGTGGAGGCTTAATGATAAGAATCTTGACTTAAAGCTTTCGTGACTGCAGGAATTAATATTTTTTGGGTCTTTCGGTAAATTCACTTAGATGGGTTCAAAGAAAATAACAAAATAACAAAAAAACTACGACGTTTCGATCGCAACACAAGCGGTCATCATCAGGAAAAGGGGGGTTCGCTTCTAAAGACAAACTGCTTATAGAGGTTTGAAATGGGCGTAGCCCAAATGTCAGCAGCCAATGCTGCGACCGCGGCGGTGGTGGTGGTGGTGGGCTTTCCACCAATCAAAGGGCTGCCAGGCAAAAATTAGCATGTCAATGTAAGATCGCCAAGCATCTTCCACGGCAAGTGTGCCAAAGTGGCTATGTTAATGTGAGAGATTAGCATGTCAATGTGAGAGATTAGCGTGTTAATGTGACAGAGCAGCATGTTAATGTGACAGATTAGCATGTTAATGTGACAGATTAGCATGTTAATGTGACAGATTAGCATGTTAATGTGAGAGATTAGCATGTTAATGTGAGAGATTAGCATGCTAATGTGAGAGATTAGCTTGTTAATGGGAGAGATTAGCTTGTTAATGTGAGAGATTAGCATGTTAATGTGACAGATTAGCATGTTAATGTGAGAGATTAGCTTGTTAATGTGAGAGATTAGCATGTTAATGTGAGAGATTAGCATGCTAATGTGAGAGATGAGCATGTCAATGTGAGAGATGAGCATGTCAATGTGAGAGTCTGACATGTTAATGTGAGAGGTGAGCATGTCAATGTGAGAGATGAGCATGTTAATGTGAGAGATGAGCATGTTAATGTGAGAGATGAGCATGTTAATGTGAGTCTGACATGTTAATGTGAGAGATTAGCATGTTAATGTGAGAGATTAGCATGTTAATGTGAGAGATTAGCATGTTAATGTGAGAGATTATCATGTTAATGGGAGAGTTTAGCATGCTAATGTGAGATATTAGCATGTTAATGTGACAGATTAGCATGTTAATGTGAGAGATTAGCATGTTAATGTGAGATATTACCATGTTAATGTGAGAGATTAGCATGTTAATGTGACAGATTAGCATGTTAATGTGAGAGATTAGCATGTTAATGTGAGATATTAGCATGTTAATGTGAGAGATTAGCATGTTAATGTGAGAGATTAGCATGTTAATGCGAGAGATTAGCATGCTAATGGCAGATCGCCGAGCATCCTCCACGGCGAGCGAGGCAAACTTGGTCTGTAACAGAGACACACAGATGGATAGAATTGTTGTCTTTGTGTATGTCTTTGTGTTTTTATCTGCATTCAATGCTACAGACCTGGTGCTTGACAATGAAAAGCCTCTTCATGTGTTGGAGATTGGAGCAGGCACCGGAGCCAACTTTGAGTTTTTCCCACCGGGCACCCAAGTCACGTGTCTTGATCCCAACCCGCATTTCAAAAAATTCCTGCTCAGGTGAGTGATGCGTCACACATACTGCAGCGTAGTATCCCGCCAGTGGCTTAGGGACCCGATTGAGGCTTGTAGAGGGCTGTGCGGTATTGATCTTTTTTCGTAGGGGAGTAACTTCGACTCAATGAGCAACACACATCCTTTGTTACTGAATATGTGTTGTCATTTCCCTCCATTTTATACTGATTGTGCAATTAGCGTCGTGCTATGAGCAGGAGTAGAATAAGAAGAATCCATTCTAATCTCTCACAGGCCAGTGCAGCCTTTATTAGTGTTAGAGAACGGCCCACAGAAGCGGGTATCACAGAGCTACTCCTGAGAATCCCTTCCAGGTGACCTCTGACCCACACGGTAGAGGACAGCACTTCCCAGCCTGCTTTGCATATGTGAGTAAAATTAATTGCGTGACAGTAAAATCTCTATTTACGTTTGAATGCTAGAATATTGCAAATTAAGTGCAGAACCAATTGTAATGTAACTCCCTCACCTGGTATGCAGGAGGTCGTGGGTTCGATCCCGACCATGACGCCTGCTGCTGTATATTTGGAGTTTGTGTGTCTCTCTCTCTCATCATCATTATCACGGTGGCTAGGAGATGTTAACTACCTCACCTGGTATACAGGAGGTCGTGGGTTCCATCACGACCCTGACGCCTGCTGCTGTATATTTGGAGTTTGTGTGTCTCTCTCTCTCTCATCATTATCACGATGGCTATGAGATGTTAACTACCTCGCCTGGTATACAGGAGGTCGTGGGTTCCATCACGACCCTGGTGCCTGCTGCTGTGTATTTGGAGTTTGCGTGTCTCTCTCATCATCATCACGGTGGCTATGAGATGTTAACTACCTCGCCTGGTATACAGGAGGTCGTGGGTTCCATCACGACCCTGGTGCCTGCTGCTGTGTATTTGGAGTTTGCGTGTCTCTCTCCTCGTGGTCGCGTGGATTTTTCCCCGCGTCCTCCGGTTTTTTCCTCCACATTTAGAATCAACATCACCACGCGTTCAGAGTTATTTGGCTGCTATAAATGTCCACATGCTAATAAGCCACTTCGTTAAGCTATCATTTGTGACGAGGTCGCTTCTGAAAAATAGCTACATAGCTCAGTGGGCCTTACCTCGTAAAATAAAAAATAGTTTTTAGTTTAACGTGATGGGTTATTTTTCTGACTTGGCTGAGACCCTCAAGTGAATGCGCTGGAGAAACGGGTTTTAAGATCAGGTTCCTGGCTGTATTCGACCCCATGACCCCACGCTCTCAGCAGTGTCAGCTCAGCACTGAGACCTCTGAGCCTCTCGGCAACCTCACCAACACCAATTCTTGAAGATCCTCTAGAACCAAGTAACCTGGAATGCGTCAGGGTCCCTGCCGACCAACCATGCTTACACCATAATCGTTTTTTTGTTTATGTTAGATTGCGTAAATATAAATGTGTCGTGAAACTCACATTCACAACATGCTCTCCAACACACCGGCGTAGCGCTGTACGAGTGACGAATCGGCACGTTCTGTTTACGTGACAAACCTCACTAGTTGTCCGAGTCGGGTGGTGGCGGGTTTAACGACACATTTATATTTACGCGATCTAACAAAAAAAAAAACCTATATTATGGATGATATTGGTCGCAAAAACCTACGTGTTATGTTTACACAAATTCAAATCTGTACATGACGAGAAGGCGCATCACAACAGAAATGCTGCTGCAGCCTGGAAACAAATAAGAGTTGTTAACACACAGATGTGTGCAGCATTGTGTGTACAAGATCTCTATCAGCCTTAGCCAGACCACCAGCTCAATGGAACTGAATGTGCGGCCATTTTGTCATTGAGACATTCTTCTGGGGCTCCCAGAGGCATGTGACAGCAGTGAACATTGTTGATTGTACTGTACTCATGAGTCCTGAGGACCAGTTGCGCATTTTCAGAATTACAAAATGACCACAGTCACTCGCTGTGCAGTGTCGGCCTCGACAAGGCTGAGATATCTCTTGTACACGCAATTCGTGCCACGGTGCGTACGTACGTACGTTGAACTTCTTTCGCACCGTAAGTAGACAACCGCGCTAATCGGAAGTGTGTGGGGAAGAATAATAAACCAAACGCAAAAAGCAGTTTAAATAGAAATAAGAAACTGCTTGTGATATAAATCATAACCGTGAGCGCGCCACGCTTTCGCCATCGTCGCCGCCGCCCGATGCCTCCCCAGGGCGTTTGACGAGAACCGGCACGTGACTCTCCTGGACACGGTGGTGGCGCACGGGGAGGACATGCGCAGCGTGCCGGACGCCAGCGTGGACGCTGTGGTGTGCACCCTCGTCATGTGCTCGGTGCAGGAGCCTGAGGGCGTCCTGCGGGAGGTCATCCGCGTGCTGCGTCCCGTAAGGCTCGCCCCCGTGCATGCTTGCCGCAACAGCGCCAAACCATCCACAACGATCTCCCGTGTCCTCCTGTCACGCAATTTGGGGAAATGCTGTGCCTTTACAATTTGAGTAAATGTTGCGGATTTACTCCCCAACACTTTGGTGGGCTGAAGTAGCAACTATAATTGGCACGTTTTGTTTACGTAACACACCTTGCTAATTGGCTGCGCCGGATGGTGGCGGGTTAACGACACGTGAATGCTGACGCGATCTAACCCGAAAAAAAAAAAAACACCTTTATTATGGAATCTGATTCTGTATAATTGCATTGCGTGCAGGGCGGGAAGCTGTACCTCCTGGAACACGTGGTAGCAGCTCCCAACACGTGGGTGCGGAGCTGTCAGCAGATGCTGGAGCCTCTGTGGTCCTACATGAGTGACGGGTGCAAGCTGGCTCGTGACACCAGGCGCATTGTGCAGGCCGCGGGATTCTCAGAAGTGGACATCAAGAACATCAACGCGCCCCTTAAGTTCCCCCTGCTTAATCCGCATTTAGTGGGGTGTGCAGTGAAGTAGTTACACCGATCTACGTGGCTCCGTCCTGGTTGGTACGCAGATAACACATTCCTGCGGAGGGGGCTGTTAGGAAATTTGAAGTAATTACGAAGTAATTTTGTACGGATATTTAAGGCAAACTTGTTAGGGTCGTGCGCAGAAGAAAGCAAAATGAAAAGTGAGCAGAATTATAAAACGACGCCAGAAAGTGCAGCAGAAAGAGGTCCCACCAGAAAGTGCAGTATAAAAGAGGTCCCACCAGTCGCACCAGAAAGTACAGTGTACAATCCCCTGCCTCCTGTGAATTAATCCCGGTTGGGCTTCCAGTCCATATAAGGGCACCACGGGGTGACCAGCCCCTCCCCACCCAGCCCCACCCCACCCAGCCCCACCCCTCCCACGTGGACAGACACCCACAGACATACACAATTAATCCCCTGCCTCCTGTGAATTAATCCCGGTTTGGCTTCCAATCCACTACGTTTCCTACCAGTATAACTACACCGCTACGTGCGCTGTACTCTTGCATACCTGGCGACCCATAAGGTTTACCTGGATTCTTGTACAGGGAAATTGAGTTTTCAGGTCCATGCGGTGTACAGCCGTTTCTATTTGTTTGTTTCTCCCCTGTGCTGGGACTTTGTAGGATGAACGTTGAGATTTATAAGGGCACGGGGTGACCAATAAGGTCTGAATTGGTCTGTATTAAGGTGGGCACTGATAAGGGGTTGACAGGTAATGAATGCTCTTGGTATGCAATTAGTACACCGTTACATGTGGCGTACTTATAGAACACACTCAAACATTAAATTATGATTTTCTCAATGAAATAATCCACACACGCAACACGCGTGTCCACTCCGCCACTGTTCGACGAGAAAGCCATCCGTCGTACAAAGTTTCATTCACTCAAACTGTCTTTTTTTTAATCTTCTCGCCAATGTGTTCCCATTGTGCGACTGGCATCATGCCACGGGACAAAGATTCCGTTTGGACATCTCAACAGAGCAGCACGCTCCACGTGTTGGAGAATAGCTCACGGAAACGATGTGTCCCCAGGGTTTCTCATAAAAAAAATGTTTTACTTCCAAGTGCCGTTTTTAACCTTTGCACACAGTCGAGGTAGCACTTTTTCACGAGCTCTGTGATTAGATTGTGAACGTGACAGTCAAACTGAATGTTTTATTCTCAAATGTGGACTGTGGGGTACTCGAATGCAAGGCCAAATTTAATAGACCATCAAAACCCAGGACCACGAGGGTGCCGGGCCATCGCTCTGACATCACGAGCCACGGGGGAAGAAAAAAAAAACCTCTTACCTGTGAAGCGTAAAATGACAAGGTCGATGTGAGAATTATTTTTACGAACTTCTCCGTTGCCCTGATGAGTGCTGCTCTGGCTGCGCCTGCGATCTCTTGGCCTGCTGCTGCCGGTGTTGGTGGTGGTGCTGAGCCCCGGCTGCTTTGTCTCGGGCTTACTGCATTGCAGTCCCCTCTCACGTGTTTCCTGCTATCTAAATGGAAACTTGATTTTGCTCTAAACGTGGCTGCTGTGACGGGATTAGCATGAATCTTAAGACTGTATTGATAGCAATTCATATTTTAGAGGTGGCACATATATAACAAAAGAGATTGATTTATTGGAACACTTTATAATTCACGTTTTAGAATGGTTGTTGTGATCACTTGCGTTGTGTGATCACTTGCGTTGTGATTCACTTGCTTTGTGTGATCACTTGCTTTGTGTGATCACTTGCTTTGTGTGATCACTTTGTGTGATCACTTGCTTTGTGTGATCACTGTGTGATCACTTGCTTTGTGTGATCACTTGCTTTGTGTGATCACTTGCTTTGTGTGATCACTTGTTTTGTGTGATCACTTGCTTTGTGTGATCACTTGCTTTGTGTGATCACTTGTTTTGTGTGATCACTTGCTTTGTGTGATCACTTGCTTTGTGTGATCACTTGCTTTGTGTGATCACTTGCTTTGTGTGATCACTTGCTTTGTGTGATCACTTGCTTTGTGTGATCACTTGCTTTGTCCACTTAAACCCGCCGGCTCTCAACAACCCTACTCCGTGGACAATGAGATTTTGTGGGGTTTTTTTGTCGTACGTTCTTGCGAGGACACCCCTCAGTCGCTATTCGTGTGGCCAAGGCGGCTCACGATCCTCGTCTTACTTCTTTGGTTCTTTCGGTAAAGTCACCACGTAGAATGAGAATAAAATAATAAAATAACACAATAAAATTCTCACGACGTTTCGGCCACAACACAAGTGGCCTTCAGGTGAAAGGTTCTATTTTATTCTCATTCTACGTGACTTTACGTTCTATTTTATTCTCATTCTACGTGACTTTACGTGACTTTACCGAAAGAACCAAAGAAGATGAATCCTTGCAGTCACGAAAGCTTTAAATCGAAATTTAGATCCTCATCTTACTTCTCCGATAATCGAGAGGAGCGTCACCTCGGCCCCCTTGTAACCTGCAGTCGCCGGCTCTGCCGACTCTTGTGACCGGGGTGGCCTGCCACCCCGTGCCGATTTCCCTTGAGGACGTCCTCCATTTAAAAGGAGCTCTCCTGAGAAATCTCCGAGTCTTCGTGAGGCATTACAATCCCGGGTTTTTTGTTGTTGTTGTCGGTTGCATAATAATATTACACCACGTAGGACAAACGACGCATTCTCGTGTAGTTTCCTGCAGTTGCGAGTTTGCTGAAATGCCATCAAGAAGCGTTGGGTTTTACTCCCCCTCACCCCCCCCCCCCCCCGATCGTGCGAAGCTGGGATATTATAGTTTTTTTCGCTCATCACGCGCGTAACATGAGGGGAGATTTATAAAGGCCTTTGCCGTGCGTGCAATCGCATAGTCGTGCGAGGTGCCTTGCATGAGTGATTAGCTTGTGAGCGATAAACGAAGCACTTAAGAGACTGGTGAATGATCTCTGTCCTCTTGGCTCCTCAACACTGGCCTCCGGTAAATGAGGCGGAGTCGTCTCGTACGACGGCTTGGTCATCGCCCCTCTGGCCTTCGGGAGATCTTTTGTCGAGTTGATGCGTAGAGACGTCACTTCATTTCAGCTGGGTCTGCTCGGGTCAAAAAAAAACCATTTCAGTACCTAAGCAATACGCATCCAATGAACATGTTTTTGTTTTTACAAAATTCATCAATAACTCCGCATTAAAAGAAAAAAACGTATATAAAGTCTGTAACGTTTCGGGCAATAGCCTTTCTTAGCACGTAGAGCCAGAGAGAAGGAGCTAACGAGGGTTGGGACTGCACTTCGTAGTGTAGGGCCTGATGAGAATGAAGTTTTTAAAAACAGTCTGATAACCTTTTTTATGGCATATACATAGTTACACTGTTCGTAGTTATTGAGTACCAGAGAAACCCTTACATCGAAAGTATGACTAAATAATTTAAATTTAAAGGTTACATTTTGCAATCCTTGGGCCCGTTGACCATTTTAATTAAAGCAGTCTTGGGACACTGAAGCAGCACAACTATGAAAATTAAACCAAATTATCTTGGAAGATGGAACGTTGGCCCAACATTGGTCATGTTTACTGGATCGCTGGGGCTACCTAGCAAACTAATATATATTTTAAAAAAAACTATTTGCGTTCAATAATTTCAAGGTAAAAATGTTCTGATCTATGTTGACTTAACTTTATTGCTCCAAAAAAGATAATTGTAACAATGCTGTTGCCTTAAATAAAGCTCACGATCTTCACGCTACCTTTGCTTTTGAACCTTGAAGTGTGTGAATTTTGGTTTGTCTGGGCTCCCTCGCTTACCCTCTCGCCTTTTATATATGTTGAACCTCTTTCGCACCGTACGTAGCCAACCATGTTAATCGGAGCTGCCAGGGGAAGAACAATCTAAACACAACAACAAGCAGTTACACATTCCTGCGGAGGGAGCTGGTAGGAACGTTGGGTTGCTCGGTCAATGGCCAGGGTCAACGGCACCACCACGTGGTGTATTGCGCAAATATGCCCGACTGTGAGGGCGGGCACAAGCTGGCGTGAGTAAGTTAAACGTTGAGTTTTATAAGGGCACCACGGGGTGACCAGCCCCTCCCCACCCAACCCCACCCCTCCCACCCCTCACCCAGCCCCTCCCCACCCCCCCCAATCCTGCCCCTCTCCACCCAGCCCCACCCCTCCCATTTTTGGATGCACGACGGACGGACGGACACAATAATCCCCTGTGGGCTGGTGGTGTAACCAGGAGGTTCCTACCAGTAATTAGTTTTCAACCTACAAGGCCGTCCATAGGGGAATGCGGGGCCAGGGGCAAATCCCACCGTGTAGGCTCCCCAACGCCTTCAAACTAAACCGGGAGTATTACAAGTGTGGGACCCCCCCCCCCCCCCCCCCAAAGCGCAGGGCCTGGGGCGGTGACCCGGATTCACCATACCCTAGGTAGGTACGGCTCTGATTCCCATGGGGGAAGAGCTCGCGGTCGTCCCCCCCCCCCTCCCCTGTTCTGCACGGTTTGGTTTCTTCCAATGGATCTCCATGATTTTGGCTATCCTTGGGTGTATTCGCACATCCTGTAATCTTCTTCAGGATTTTTTTTACAATATGTTGCTAGTGCTCGTCTTCCCTCTGTGTGCTCCAATTTCTCGGCTGCCTCTAATGCGCGGATCTTTTTCTGTACCCTCGGTTGTGCCCCCTCCTCCCCCGCCTGTTTATGTGCTCAGTAGTTGGTCTCTTCCAAATCTCTCTCTCCCTGTCCTTATTGCTCCACTTGGTTGCTCCCATCTGCCACATCCTCCCCATCTGTGTTGCTCCACTTGGTTGTTCCCTTCTGCCAAATCCTCCCCGTCCTTATTGCTCCACTTGGTTGCTCCCACCTGCCACATCCTCCCCGTCCTTATTGCTCCACTTGGTTGCTCCCACCTGCCGCATCCTCCCCATCTGTGTTGCTCCACTTGGTTGCTCCCACCTGCCACATCCTCCCCGTCCGTGTTGCTCCACTTGGTTGCTCCCACCTGCCACATCCTCCCCGTCCGTGTTGCTCCACTTGGTTGCTCCCACCTGCCACATCCTCCCCGTCCGTGTTGCTCCACTTGGTTGCTCCCTGCTCGCGCGCCCCACGTGTCTGGGCGCCGCCATGGCGTCCGTGCTGCGCACTCTCCGCACCCATTGGAAGAAGAGCACCGTGGGGGGCGCGCTGTGCGTGTGGGGGGCCACCTGGGCTCACAAGCGGCACAAGTGAGACACGCGGGGACCCCCCCCCAATCTCCCCCCCCCCCAATATCCTCCCCACACCGAACCCCCTCGCACTCCCCGAACCGATGGATTTGCTGGGGTCAGGTAATCGATACTCGATTCGATTAAGCGGCAGCGGAATCGATGCCGATTCTCGGATCGCCCGCGGACGCATTTGCGCTGCCGGACGAACGAATGCCGCGGGTCTGCGTCGGGCGTCTTGAGATGGCGCGGCCTGAGGGGCGTAGTCGGAGAGCCCTGCAAAGTGCCACTCGTGTTCAGTCGATTGGCTTTGTATCTCGTGTTCAGTCGCGCAACGCAGTCAAAGGAATCGATCCGCGAATCGACTGGTGATGAATGAATGGGGGAGGGGAGCGGTGGCGCAGCGGTTAGCGCGCTGCACCGCCAACCCCGGCGACCCGAGTTCGATTCCCGCTCACGGCCACCAACAGCGGTGACGATTGACTGAAACCGGTACCTGGGCCTCTCCCCCCCCCTAGGTCGACTCAGCCTCAAAAATAATATCCGGTGCGGTGCGTAGTAAAACATCGGCACTGGGGGGGAGACAAAGGCGGCCTGGCGTGGTGGTGCTGGCCATTCCCCCCCTCGTGTGCCACAGTCTTCATAGGCGCTGCTGCTGCTCGCTAACAGCAACTTGCCCCAACAGTCTGTTAGAGGCTACACGGGGGAACTTTGTCTTTGTAGGGAGGGGGGGGGGTGGAGGTCACCGATTCCAGGCCGCTGTGTTTCATTCGTTATCTCATTCCCACAGTGGTTGAAATTCCACATTCCTATGGTGGGGCGTCTGTCCGTTTGACGAATATTGCAGACAAGTCTGTCATGGGCAGCGCACGGGAGTTGTTGAAGGTCGTTGCGATGATCACTCGTTGGCTGTTTTTAGTTTTGATGCCATTTTCACTAGTATATATTTGTTTTAGATTTTTCTTGCGAGCAGGATTTTAATTTGCTTGGTCGTGCGACGCGGAGCTCCAAACCATGGTGAGGGGCCACCAGCAGCAGAGGACAGCCACGTGTTGTGGTGTCGGTGGGTTGCCACGGTGGAGTTTCCTCGCGGCTGCTGGACGCGGGACCCCAAAATGCCCCAAACGCTCAGCAGGCCAGCAACAAGCAGCACTCTTGTTACTGTTATAGAACTCAACAGTTGTCAATCCCTTATCAGGGCCATAACTTATTACAGACCAATTCAGACCTTATCGGTCACCCCGTGCGTCCTTATAAATCTCAACGTTCATCCTACAAAGTCCCACCGCAAGGGAGAAACACAAACAAATAGACAAAATATAGTATAGTGTATTGTATAGTAGTGTATAGTGTAGTGTACACCATACCTGTCAACCCCTTATCAGGGCCATAACTTATTACAGACCAATTCAGACCTTATTGGTCACCTTGTGCCCCTTATAAATCTCAACGTTCATCCTACAAAGTCCCATCACAAGGGAGAAACACAAACAAATAGACAAAATATAGTATAGTGTATTGTATAGTAGTGTATAGTGTAGTGTACACCATACCTGTCAACCCCTTATCAGGGCCATAACTTATTACAGACCAATTCAGACCTTATCGGTCACCTTGTGCCCCTTATAAATCTCAACGTTCTTCCTAATAAAGTCCCACCGCAAGGGAGAAACACAAACAAATAGACTACCACATATTTTTTGTTACCCGCATTGAAACCGGCCGTACGCCGTATGGCCCTGAACAACTCAATCTCCCTGTACAAGAATACGGGGTTAAACCGAGTGGGTTGACAGCTGTGGGTCACGTATGTTACGTAGCCAACGGCGCTGCTTGGAGTCCTGGGCCTCGAGAGATGTTGATGCTCCTTGCGTTTGGGCTGTTGTCACCTGGTTTAATAACCAGCGCCGGAGCGACAACAGTGATGTAAGTTCTGATCTCCACTGTAATGTAATCTTTGTTTTTCAGAGCAAGCCTTTTGCGAAGAGCTGCATGCGAGGAAGCCTTGGTAAGGTCACGTAAGGGTGTGTTCACGTGAGGGTGTGTTCACGTGAGGGTGTGTTCACGCGAGGGTGTGTCCACGCGAGGGTGTGTCCACGTGAGGGTGTGTCCACGTGAGAGTGTTCACGTGAGGGTGTGTTCACGTGAGGGTGTGTTCATGTGAGGGTGTGTTCACGTGAGGGTGTGTTCACGTGAGGGTGTGTTCACGTGAGGGTGTGTCCACGTGAGAGTGTTCACGTGAGGGTGTGTTCATGTGAGGGTGTGTCCACGTGAGGGTGTGTCCACGTGAGAGTGTTCACGTGAGGGTGTGTTCACGTGAGGGTGTGTTCACGTGAGGGTGTGTCCACGTGAGGGTGTGTCCACGTGAGAGTGTTCACGTGAGGGTGTGTTCACGTGAGGGTGTGTCCACGTGAGGGTGTGTCCACGTGAGAGTGTTCACGTGAGGGTGTGTTCACGTGAGGGTGTGTTCACGTGAGGGTGTGTTCACGTGAGGGTGTGTTCACACGAGGGTGTGTCCACGCGAGGGTGTGTTCACGCGAGGGGGTGTTCACACGAGGGGGTGTTCACGCGAGGGGGTGTTCACGACTGATGGATGCGACTGTCATTTTAAACATTAAAGCTTTAGAAATCACGTTCGTGGGGAGCCTTTGCCACATCCACTGTTGCCCGAAGGCCTCGGCGTGTCGTGTCAGTCGTATGGAGTCCTGCGATCATACTTCACCACCCCGGTCGGTGGTGATTGAAGGGGAGCCCAGAGACTGAGTTCATTTTGATGATCCTGCACTTGTATTTTTGGTTCTTTCGGTAAAGTCACCACGTAGAAAGGGGAACAATAAAATAATAAAAATATTAAACAAAATTCTCACGACGTTTCGACTGCAACACAAGCAATCATCATCAGGTGTGAAAACCACAGCAAGAAACGTCTGGAGAATTTTATTGTTTTATATTTTTTTATTATTTTATTGCTTCCCTTCTACGTGACTTTACCGAAAGAACCAAGAATATGAATCCCTGCAATGCAAGATTTGAAGCTTTCGTGACTGCAAGGATCCATACTCTTTGGTTCTATTTTTTACCTCCGTGACTTTACCGAATAGAACCAAAGAGTATGAATCCCTGCAGTCACGAAAGCTTCAAATCAAAAGATCCTGCGCTTGTTCAGGCGAGTCACGTAACTCGCCGACGGTCAGTCGCCTCCTTATCCCTCTTGCATTGCTACTGCCATGGTCGCCGTTCCTCCCGCGGACGTCTGATCCGCACTGCGACACCAGCCACCATTCTGTCGGTCAAGTCGCTGCCACAGTCGCCCGCTTGCCGCTCTGCCACTGACGCCGCTTGCCTTCTGCTGCGTCCCTCTCGCCGCCCCACTGTCCACTTCCCTCCCGTCGTCTCTCTTTTCCAAAACCTCGTTCGTGACCTTGCGCAGTTCAAGCAATGTACTGGCCCCTCGTATTATTGCAACACTAATCGCGCTGCTTGTCGCTGGCGGCCTGGCTTATTGGGCCTTTGAACCTGTGCTCATCAACCTTAATGTAACAAGAAAATATTTTGCTCGTCGCTAATGTTAACAACCGTGGCCGGATATCGGCGGTGGCCACCCATGCAAGCACTACCTAGGCAGGTGAATAATAATAATAATAGCGTGTGCACCATTGTCGAGCGTTTGATCGTGTTGCGTTCTCTGGCCCTGTCACCAGGTGTTTGGAAACGAACGGCTGTTTCTGACAGACGCCCCGAAGCGCATCACCGTGTTCCTCAATCCAGCAGCGAGCAACGGGTGAGCAGCAGTAAAAGTTAACGCTGTTTAACCAGCTGCGAGGGTTCAGTAGAGCTGGACGTGATTCTCATTTTGCAAGGGTAATCTGGGTCGCCAACATTATTAAAATCAAAGCAAATAAAGCAAACTACAGCACAATTAAGCAAATAGGAATAGCAGCAGAGAGAGACGCATGGGGAGAAGAGAGAGAGTAAAGTTTCATCTTCTTTGGTTCTTTCGGTAAAGTCACGTAGAATGAGAATAAAATAATAAATTGATAAAATAAAATAACACAATAATATTATTATTTTATTCTCATTCTACGTGACTTTACCGAAAGAACCAAAGAAGATGAATCATTGCAGTCACGAAAGCTTTAAATCGAAAAGAGTAAAGTTTGTTGAACCAGAGAGCAGGAGGACATTCCCATTTGCAAGACTCAATTCTCTTGGAAATAGGTTACCTCTATCCCGGGTGGGGTGTCCAACAACCATCACACATCCACCGCCTGCATGCAGTCTTCGCTGAGGGCTTCATTTTCACAGCCCGGCCCCCTTCGCCAATCGTCCATCGCTGCGCGTGGATTTATCACGTAGGCTTTCGCGACCAATATCATACACAATACAGGTTTTTTGGGTTAGATCGTGTAAATATATAAATGTGTCGTTAAAACCTGCCACCACCCGACACAGCCAACTAGTAAGGGTTGTCACGTAAACAGAACGTGGCCAATTCGTCACTAGTACAGCACTAGTGTATAGTGTAGTGTATAGTATAGTATACTAGTACAGCACTAGTGTATAGTGTAGTGTATAGTGTAGTATACTAGTACAGCACTAGTGTATAGTGTAGTGTATAGTGTAGTATACTAGTACAGCACTAGTGTATAGTGTGGTGTATAGTGTAGTATACTAGTACAGCACTAGTGTACAGTGTAGTGTATAGTGTAGTATACTAGTACAGCACTAGTGTATAGTGTAGTGTATAGTGTAGTATACTAGTACAGCACTAGTGTATAGTGTAGTGTATAGTGTAGTATACTAGTACAGCACTAGTGTATAGTGTAGTGTAGTGTATAGTGTAGTGCATAGTGTAGTGTATACTAGTACAGCACACCGGTGTGATGGAGAGCCAAGCCACAACATTTACAATCTGAGTACGACGTTTCGCCAGTAATCACAACCAGCTTCATCAGGCGGACAGCCAGATTTGTGGAGAAATCCTCCTGTTTCGTTCGTGGAGTTGATAAACGTGGGGACCTCGGTGCGCGTGGGGTGGGATCCCCACGATCTTGACGGGCTAGTGGCTGAGTCCAGCGGCATGGCGAGCCGCGACTTTTCCCCGCTGCAGCCTTCATCATCCGCCTCCACAGCCGTTGAGACCCACGGCCTCTGCCGTTGAGGACGCGGGGGGGTCCCCCTTTGACGTTGCCGCCCATGGGTGGTGTCCCGATCAGGAGCACGAGGCTCCCGACGGCTTTGCTCTCGGGAATCATTGGAACACAGAAAGCTCTCCGCTCTGATGCAGTGGCGATCCTTGGAGAGGAGTCACCTGGGTAGTAGTAGCTCATGAAATAAGCCGGTGATTAAAAAAATCAAATCGGCCTCTGTTTTGTCTCTCGGTGTAAAAACGAAATGATTTCCACACCATCGGCCTCTTGGCTTTCCAGATCAACTTTTATCAGTCATTTGTTTATACAAACTGGATTGGTTTGGCGTTTTATGGGTCTCACCAGCAGAGCCATGCTTGCCAAACAAACACTGCCATACAGATATTCAGATGAATTCAGATATTCATGGTTTCCCGATATTCGGATGGGGAACCAATATTTCTGCATATTCCTAAATATTGGTTCCGAGGGGGAACAAAGCTTAGTTCCTTGGAAACCAAATATGTGTAGGGGGAATGTTCTTGAACAGCGAGCCACCGGAGATTACTGGAAAGCTCGCACTGTCTCGTGAACACATAACAATTGTGGAAAATAACTTGTGGCTTAGATGGAGTGCCCTTGCCGATAACATGTGCACAGCGGTGTTTGGTAAGCCTGGTCGTGCTGGTGCGTGCCAGAAGGCTGGCAGACTGGAGATTATTTTGGCTGTATACAAAGATACGGAATGGATTAGCACGTTATTTATTTAATGAATTTACCACAATACCCCACGGGAATGCACATTGAGGGTTGTTTTTTTTTTGACAATTAGCAGGCTTGAGCATTGAAAGAATACAACACACACCACACCATAGTCGGTGGCTGCATGGGACAGCAGATTTAATACGTGCGAGTTCAATGCCTCTATACGCTCGCTTGCTCTCACCTGTACAATGCAAATTGTAAACTTTCACTAGGCTGTACCCGAACACGAGTAAATTGTCGGTATGTGTGGGGTCCGTAGTGTGACGGTCGCACGTGCCGTTTTTCTCCCACTATGTGCATTTCCTAAGGATTACTCTGTGTGAAATAGGTGAAAAATAAAAAGTCACGGAGGGCGCTTCAGAGTCTGTGGGGATGATTTGCACGTTCTGCCCGTTCTCCGCGGTTGTTTCCAGGAAGGCAAAAAACTTGTTTGACCTCAACGCCGCTCCGATCCTTCACTTGGCGGGATTTGAAGTCACTGTGGTCAAGGTAATCAGCATGTGCACGTGTGCGGGTGAGAATGTGCACGTGTGCGGGTGAGAATGTGCACGTGTGTGGGTGAGAATGTGCGCGGGTGAGAATGTGCACGTGTGCGGGTGAGAATGTGCACGTGTGTGGGTGAGAATGTGCACATGTGTGGGTGAGAATGTGCACGTGTGGGTGAGAATGTGCGGGTGAGAATGTGCACGTGTGTGGGTGAGAATGTGTGCGGGTGAGAATGTGCACGTGTGTGGGTGAGAATGTGTGCGGGTGAGAATGTGCACGTGTGTGGGTGAGAATGTGCACGTGTGTGGGTGAGAATGTGTGCGGGTGAGAATGTGCACGTGTGTGGGTGAGAATGTGCACGTGTGTGGGTGAGAATGTGCACGTGTGTGGGTGAGAATGTGCACGTGTGTGGGTGAGAATGTGCACGTGTGTGGGTGAGAATGTGCACGTGTGCGGGTGAGAATGTGCACGTGTGTGGGTGAGAATGTGCGGGTGAGAATGTGCACGTGTGTGGGTGAGAATGTGCACGTGTGCGGGTGAGAATGTGCGCGGGTGAGAATGTGCACGTGTGTGGGTGAGAATGTGCACGTGTGCGGGTGAGAATGTGCACGTGTGCGGGTGAGAATGTGCACGTGTGTGGGTGAGAATGTGCACGTGTGTGGGTGAGAATGTGCGCGTGTGCGGGTGAGAATGTGCACGTGTGTGGGTGAGAATGTGCACGTGTGCGGGTGAGAATGTGCACGTGTGTGGGTGAGAATGTGCACGTGTGTGGGTGAGAATGTGCACGTGTGCGGGTGAGAATGTGCGTGGGTGAGAATGTGCACGTGTGTGGGTGAGAATGTGCACGTGTGTGGGTGAGAATGTGCACGTGCGCGGGTGAGAATGTGCACTCTGGATAGTTTGTCTAGACCCGTGTGGACTCTTGAATACATTTACAGAAAGGCAATGGCCATGAAGACGTTGTGTACATGCATAGCCCTTGGTGTCAATCCACTGCTGGATGAGTGCTTCCCCACGCCGTGTGGTTCGTGGTGGGGGGGGGAGGCATTTTTTAACCATACTTCACCACACTGCTCAGGGCGGATTCGTGAAGGTGGGGAACGCAGATGTAGGAGCTGAGAAGTAGGAAACATTTACATTTGCTGCTTCTCACACCCACAGAGGCCCCGAAAACGCCTGTTTTACGCGTTCGTGGTGGCCCATCTAGGCACTATACAGGCTAATACCTGCTTGGCTTTCACAACCGGGCGAGATCAGGTGAAATCCCGGTGCTTTGGCCGTAGGCACGTGGACTTGTGCATACTCCGAAATCTGGTTAATTTTCCTTTGCAAACTAAAAAGCACCTGACCGTACAATTTCTATTGCAAGTCTATTCTTGGCCTGTTTTTAAAAACGATTGTAGTGCAGCCGCTGCAACCACACGTATGACTTTCATCTGTGACTTGCTGCACAATTTCTTCGTGTGCGTTGTAAATCGGGTAAAAAAATTTTTTTATACCTATGATCGTCTTATTATGGTTACGGGAATTCGGAATCGAGAGGCGGCCTCTGGCGACGCGCAGTGTGGCAGCCTGTGGTGGTAGCTGCCGACGTTTGGCACTGGGCACGTCGGCGTCCACGGACGCGGCTTAATAATCGTCAATGCCGGTGACGCGTCTGTTGTTTCTTGCCGAAACGATTCCTTAAATAATTGGACCACCCGCGCTCGTTTCCATGCTCGGCCCGCAATTGTATCGGGGGTCATCCGGGGTCATTCTGCGTCTGGCTTGTCCGAGAGGGAAAACGGGCAGAGCGGCCGCTAACCGCCGCTGTCTGCGCGGCGAGGCGGCCGCGCTGCCGGCCGAGCTCTTGAGACAACGGCAACGGCAACGAGAGTCGCCGCGTGCAATAAGTACGTCGCGACGCCGGCGCGAGCGCGGTGTAACGGGTCGGCCTGGCGCCCGCAGACCGACCATGAGGGGCAGGCGCAGGACCTGCTGGGGGTGCTGGACCGCACCGACGCCATCGTGGTGGCCGGAGGGAACGGCACTCTGCTCGAGGTGAGTCCTCGGCGAGGCACGCGGGGGGGAGAGCTTGCTTGTGCGACGATCAACATCGCTAGGTTCGTGTGCGTTTTGATACGTATGTGCGTTGAACTTCTTTTCGCACCGTACGTAACCAACCGTGCCAATCGGAGGTGCGGGATGTGCGATGAGTTCACGTTACCCTTCTGGTGACTTAGAGACGCTTACCATTCATGGCTGTGTCAAGAATGGTGCTTGGATGGATTCGCGAGTCTGAATGTTGTCCCTTCAGTGGATCTCCGGCGCGTCATTCGAGACGTCCCGAAAACCAACTTCTGCCGCTGCTGCTGCCAGTGCCGGGTTCTGAGTAATGCGCTGGTTGGGGCGGTGGCGCACTGCGCAATTGGAGCCGGCAAACCTAAGTTCGAATCCTGGCCAGGGCTGAGAAGAGACGAAAGTGATATCTGAAACGGTCCTGGGCACCCCCCCCCGTTCACAAACCTGCAGTACGGTCATGACTGAGGGGTGGGTTGACAAGGGGCTGTGAGTGGTTGTGTTTGTTGGCTGCTGGGTCTGTGACTCTGCATCGATGTTGGCGTGAGGCGGTTGGCATGGCGATGAACGACGTTGCCTTTGTGCTCCCAGGTTGTTACGGGAATGCTGAGAAGAGACGACGAGGTGAGTCGACCTTTTTGAGAACATCGCCGTGCGGAAGCAACGTTTATCATTCACGAGCAACGTTTATCATTCACGAGCAACGTTTATCATTCACGAGCAACTTTTATCATTCACGAGCAACTTTTATCATTCACGAGCAACGTTTAGCATTCACGAGCAACGTTTATCATTCATGAGCAACGTTTATCATTCACGAGCAACTTTTATCATTCACGAGGAATGTTTATCATTCATGAGCAACGTTTATCATTCATGAGCAACTTTTATCATTCACGAGCAACGTTTATCATTCACGAGCAACGTTTATCATTCACGAGCAACGTTTATCATTCACGAGCAACGTTTATCGTTCACGAGGAATGTTTATCATTCCCAAATCCCAAGCAACGTTTATCATTTACGAGCAACGTTTATCACTCACGAGCAACGTTTATCATTCACGAGGAATGTTTATCATTCACAATCAACGTTTATCATTCACGAGGAATGTTTATCATTCACGAGCAACGTTTATCATTCACGAGGAATGTTTATCATTACCAACACCGAATCCGTCTGGAATTAGCATTGCCAAGCAAATAGAGGCACGGAGCTGTGTTTGTTTTTGAGAGCAGCGTTCTGGGTGCGACTGTAACCACACCGCCCAGAATACGCCCAGTCTCGTGAGGCCTCGAAGACCAAGCAGGGTTGGATTGGTGAACGCCGATGCGCGCCATCCCCTCCGAGGCGGCGGCGTTGCCGCGCCACGAACACGGGAACCCGAGTTTTGATTCCCGCTCACGGCCAACACCAGTTAACGATTATTTGTACCGGTCCTGGGCCTCTCCTAGGTCGACTCAGCCTCATTGTATTTATGCACGTTAAACTTCTTTTGCACCAATTGTCGCAATCGGAGGTGCGGAGGAAGGACAACAAAATAAACACAAAGCAGTTCTAAAGAAATTATTTTTCAATTAGTTTTCTCAAATGGGTATCTGGTGTTGTGTGTAAACATCGCCACTGGGGAGACAAAGGCAGCCAGGTGTGGAGCTGGCCATTCACCACCTCGTGTGCCGTGCCGGCCTACCTGGGTGCTCGCTAACAGCAATTGCCCCAGCCTCTTTTAAAGTTCATAAAGGTTTTTGTTGGGGTTAGATTGTGCATGTTAAATGTGCCATTAACCCACCGCCACGACACACATTTACGCGATCTGACCCAATTAAACATTTACTATTAACACTATTGGTCGTGAAAGCCGGTTTGTTAAATTTACCACGTAGTTGGCTTTCGTGACCAATATTAATCATAATAAAGGTTTCTGGGTGAGATCGCGTGACGATAAATCTGTCGTATCCCTCCAGCACCCGACACAGCGTAAAAAATGACGTTTTATTGGTAATTACATCCAGCATCATTGGGCGATTTGCTGGATGTAATTACCAGCGAAACGTCGCATTCAAATTGTAAATGTTGTGGATTTACTCTCCAACACAACGGTGGGCTGAAGTAGTAATGAATTGGCACGCGTTGTTTACGTGACAAACCCCACTGGCTGCGTCGGGTGGTGGAGGGTTACGACGCATTCACACTTACACGGTCTAACCCTAAAACCTTTGTTATGAACGGTCTGTTGAAGGTTATACGGGGGGGGTGGTCTTTGTCTTTGTCAGGCCGACTTCAGTAAGATCCCCATCGGGATCATCCCGCTCGGCAAAGTGAACACCGTCGGCGGCATCGTTAACCTGCAGGAGGAGGACCAGGTCAGGTGAGCGAGCAGCACCGAGACACTGAGACACGGCAGCACCGAGACACGGCAGCACCGAGACACCGAGACACCGAGACACGGCGGCACCGAGACACGGCAGCACCGAGACACCGAGACACGGAGACACGGCGGCACCGAGACACGGAGACACGGCGGCACCGAGACACCGAGACACCGAGACACGGTGGCACCGAGACACGGCGGCACCGAGACACCGAGACACGGCAGCACCGAGACACCGAGACACGGTGGTACCGAGACACGGTGGCCGCCCCCCTCCCGTGTGTGTGCTGGGCCCTGGCGATGAACGCCGCCGCCGCTGCCGCGGGACGACGACGTTGCTCTGGGTCACACCCACGCTCCGTGGTCGCACCGTCGCCGTGCGTCACCGTTGCGTGGCACACACACACTCACTCACACACTCACTCACACACTCGCACACTCGCTCGCACACTCACTCGCACACACACTCGCACACTCACTCACTCGCACACTCACTCACTCGCACACTCACTCACTCGCACACTCACTCGCACACTCACTCACTCGCACACTCACTCGCACACTCACTCACTCGCACAATCACTCGCACACTCACTCGCACACTCACTCACACACTCACATACTCGTTCACACACTCACACACTCACTCGCACTCACTCACTCGCACACTCACACACTCACTTGCACACTCACACACTCGCACACTCACTCACACACTCGCACACTCGCATACTCGCTCCACACTCACACACTCACATACTCGCTCACACGCTCACTCACATACTCGCTCACACACACACTCGCTCACACACACACTCGCATACTCACTCGCACACTCACTCGCACACTCACTCGCACACTCACTCGCACACTCACTCACTCGCACACTCACACACACACTCACTTACTCGCACACTCGCACACTCACTCACACACTCACTCACATACTCACACGCATACTCACACACTCGCACACTCGCCCCGGTGCGCTGAACGTCACGGTTAAACTTGCCTGCCCGGGAAAGTCTCGCTGAGCTCTCGTGAGCTGTTCAGGAGAGGGGTCCTGTCGAGTTTTCGCGGCGAGGGACGATGATTTCTACGTCGATTTCAATCGAGTCATTCGTGGGTAAATATTCTAATTTGACAAATTTGGACCATGATGCTGGCACGCGACGGCCTACAAACGCGAATGACTTAACGGGATTTTTAACGCCCGCCTTGAAGCGGACGGCGCGTAGTGTTGCGGCTAAAAGAGCCCCGTTAATAATCGGGGCGGCCGCTGGATTCGAACCGCGAACGTCTGCAACAAGCGGCGGGCACGCTACCACTAGGCGGAGCGTCGTGTGCGGCGCGCAGGCGAGTTGTTTCTGTTGTGACTTGTGCACAAAAATGAAAACGTGGACATTGCAGTTTTCAGTTTGGTTTTTTAATGCGCTTGCAGCGGTGCCCACTGTTGTGTCGGAATACGAGCGAGCGCGTGTGGCGTGTGTGGGCACAGGAGAATCACCAGCGCCGCGCTCGCCATCGTCAGGGGGAGCACGGTACCCGTTGATGTCCTTCAAGTCGTGGTAAGACCGCCTGTTTTTTGTTATATTTCGATTATTTCCCCCCCCCCCCAACCTCCAGTTTGTGTTCCGATTGTATTCTTGGTGCCTTGTTCGGCCCTTTGCGACGAGCATCCGTGTTTTATATTTTTCTCCGATTAAAAGTACGGGGCCCTGCGCGGGGGGGGGGGGGATATGTTCCAAATGTTTACTCGGCGCGTAACTCTTCGTCTTATCGAGACGTGACATGGTGCTCGCGCTCAACAGCGATGTCTCTCGTGCCCGGTTGACCGCCGTGAAACGGGCGGATCTTTGATCGTCGCTCGAAAACATTTCCACAAGATCCCGCGCAGTGCCGCTTGGCGGGCCAGGGGCGGCAAGCGATACGTGACCGTGCTTATTTATTTTTTCAACGCAACGCTGCGTGCACCTTGCTCCGTGGGTAGGGCGTCAAGGGGAAGCCGGTGTACGCCCTCTCGGAGCTGCGCTGGGGGAACTACCGAGACGCTGAGGCCAGCGCCCCCAGGTACCGAGGAGCTTGAGTTTGTAGTCGCTTCCTCGCACCTCCCGATTCATCACGGTTGGCTACGTGCGGTGCGAGAGAAGTTCAACAGAAGATCCCTCGCAGCGCCGCACCCACACCCTGCCCTTGACTTATTTTCCGAGTGCACTTTCTGCCTCTTTAATCGCCTCATCCCCAGTTTTATACCGGTCGCGCTATCGGCGAGTCGGTGAGAGTGTGTCCCCTTGGGGTTTTCGATCTCCCGGTTAAACAAAGGGTACTGAAGCGTGCTTCCAATGGGATGTGCGAGAGTTTCCCAATGGGTTATTCGTCCAACAATCCAAATCAATGTTTATTTGTTAAACGGAAAGTCCCCCGTATAGCCAGTTATCCAGCTGGTTTGCAAGGGAGGTCCGTGGTGCATCGGCTCAGAACGAGAACGACGTCAAAGCGATCCGTACGGAGGAACAGGCAACAATGGAGCAGAACACGTCAGGGGTGCAGGGCAAAAATGAGTGCTGAAAGAACAGAAATTAACGTTAACCCTTTCCCATTCTGAGACGTCTGAAAGTTGCAGAGTGGGTCCGGTTCACCGCTGAATCTCAGGACGCGCAAAGCGGCTCGGCATTCATTTTACCGAGAGAGGCTTAGCAGCGCCGCTGTTTTTGAAGAAGCTGTACTCGCCGCAGAGAACCGTAGCGGCACGACCGCACTCCACGATAGCTGGCGCCAAACTGTGGCACACGCCCTCCCGCATGGCCTTGTGGGAACCTTGGTAACGATACATTTTATTTTTCTTCCGGTTCTGTTCCGATGACCTACACGTACGCCATCGGAAACGAAATCGGAAGAAAAACTGATGACGTACACACGTACGCCATCGGAACGGGTTAACAAAACGAACCGGGACTTTGCAACGACAGCAAGGATGAGGTAATGAATGATTGAGAGGATTTGTGCGCGAGGCAAGCAAGAATATAATTGGGTGGGCGCAAAAAAAACAATTAAATAACTTTCACTCTTGACCATAGTGTTCATACCTGTCAACCCCTTGTCAGTGCCCTACCTTTATTACAGACCAATTCAGATCTTATTGGTCACCCCGTGCCCCGTATAAATCTCAACGTTCATCCTACAAAGTCCCATCACAAGGGAGAAACACAAATATACAAAAAATGTTGCCCGTATTGGAACGACTGTACGCCGTATGGGGCAAGCCGTATGGGTTGACAGATATATTTTTTTTAATAACCTAGTACGCTCACGCCTGTTGTTGTGCAGGTACTGGTACCTTGGTCCCTTGAAGAAGGTGGCCTCCTACTTATTGAGCACCTTCCAGGTACGTACCCGGTGGTCGCCACTCAACGACTCATTCCGTTACAATCTATCCTTAGCGTCACGCTCCGCACATCGTGTGGCTTGTGGCTGTTTTATGCGCGGCGTTATGAGCGCTTGTTGCGTTCAAAGTCACGACGCGGGAGGCAGACGGTTACAAAACAAGAAGAGCAACAAGAATTGGTGGAGGCCTCCTTCAGGCTGTCACAATTCCTCGCGTTCTTGCGATGCAACAATCCGTCCGGCTCCTGCACACGAGCAGATTTTCTCGCGAGGTGGTGAACATCTTGCTACGGTGGCTAGGAGATGTTAACTACCTCGCCTGGTATACAGGGGGTTGTTAGTTTGATCCCGACCCCTGAAGCCTGCTGTGTATTTGGAGTTTGCGTGTCTCTCTCTCCCCGTGGTCGCGTTGATTTTTTTCTAGGGTCCTCCGGTTTTTCCCCTCCGCATTTAGAATCAACGTCACGCGTTCAGAGTATTTGGTTTCTATACATTTCCACGTCATAAGCCACTGTCATTGAGCTATCACTTGTGGGCCAGGTTACTTTTGAAAAAGAGCCACGTGGTAAAATAAAAAAATAGTTTAGTTGATAGTTTCATCTCTACGGTGGACGTAGGTTGCGAGCGTGCCCCCCCCCCCGCCCCCTCTTGCTGCCACTGCCGTTCGTCTCAACCACCTTCGAGCCACCGGCCAAGTCCGCTAAGTTTTAGTTGACGTCAGTTGGGGGTCTTTACCCCGCGTACGTTCTCCAATCCGTGCGTTTCTCTGCCTCGGTGAGATTCCCAAGCGTTGCACCTCCTCCACGCTTCTTGGTGCGCTGTTCAGTTTCCTTCCCTGTTACTCGTCAACGTCCAACGGTCCGATCCATGTCAAAGCAGCCGATTGAGAACGTCGTCGTGAAAATTAGGCATTCAAGTGTGCAGTTTTGTAGCGAGCCTTAATTTACATTTTTAAAAAAAGCTTGCTCTTTCACCACGAGTGCGTTGACGTGTGTTTGGTGTGCGAGGTCCCGGGCCTCCCCTAGGTCGACTTAGCCTTAAAAGGGTAGCTGCTGTGGTGTGCAAGCATTTGCACTGGGAGAGACAAAAGTGGTTGGACATGGCGCTGGCAACCCCCACCCCCTTGTGCACTCTGCCGACCTTCATCGGTGCTGCTCGACAGCAGTACTTTCCTCGGCCGTCTGTTAGGGCTACACGGGGGATCTTTGTCTTTGTACGCCTCTCTTTCAGGAGTGGCCTCCGAGCCGCCATGCCCTCCTGTCGTACGCAGAGCCAGCGGAGAGGCCCGAGTATGTGGAGGAAAGTCCTGGCCCAGTGCCACGGCCCTCCCTGTGGAGGAGAATCTACAACAGATTCCTTCGACTGCAGGAGAGTAAAGTGCCAGGTGGGCTCCCCCACCCCCCGGACACTGTGACTATCGCTAGGCCGCCACACTCGCTAGGCCGCCACACTCGCTAGGCCGCCACACTCGCTAGGCCGCCACACTCGCTACGCCGCCTCACTCGCTAGGCCGCGACACTCGCTAGGCCGCGACACTCGCTAGGCCGCGACACTCGCTAGGCCGCCACACTCGCTAGGCCGCGACACTCGCTAGGCCGCGACACTCGCTAGGCCGCGACACTCGCTAGGCCGCGACACTCGCTAGGCCGCCACACTCGCTAGGCCGCCACACTCGCTAGGCCGCCACACTCGCTAGGCCGCGACACTCGCTAGGCCGCGACACTCGCTAGGCCGCGACACTCGCTAGGCCGCCACACTCGCTAGGCCGCCACACTCGCTAGGCCGCCACACTCGCTAGGCCGCCACACTCGCTAGGCCGCCACACTCGCTAGGCCGCCACTCGCTACGCTGTGCGCTGCTCACGTGTGGCACATTGAGCGATTGTAACTCTGCATCCACCCCCCCACGTTGTGCCTTTTCACCTGGCCACACTTAACGGCGTGGTAAAATGTGGTAGATTAACACCAAGACTGTGGGGTAGGGCGTCGCCCAGCGGTGATTTGACCATTGTTGATAATGACGAAGCGTGGATTTACGTGTTGCCCAATGTTCCGCTCTGTCCGATTTTGGTGAAAACGACAAATTGCCAAGGCAGTGAATCGTTTCGTTAGATTCACGATTCACGTTAGTTATGTCGGTGATAATGAACACTTTTGTTCTATAGAACCATTCAACTGGTGAACAATGCGGTTTTAGACATCCCGACGGGGCTCTCAAGCGCCTGTTTCGTTGTTCGGTGCCCGCCCAGTGTGGGTCTGCCGGGCGGGCGAGCGAGCGAGTTTACGCCGCGGCTGTACGGCCGTCGTGTGCCCTCACTGTGCAGAGAAGCCAGTGGAGGAGACGCCGCAGACCGAGATGGAGATTTCTTCGATGGAGGTGGTGATCAGCAGCCTTAACGCCGTGCTCGATCTGAAGGTTTGTGGACATCCCCCCCCGCGTCTCCCTGGTTTCTGGGTCAACGTCTTTATTCCGGCTTCACGATTGCAACACGCAGATGACCCGGTGGCTTCATGAATGATTATTTTTTTTAGTGTTTTGTTGTTAATGTGCTAATAATGTCACTTTTAAACAAAAAAGATGAATAAAACACAAACCAAGGCGAGCATCATGATATATCGACCGGTCAGGTGGTGGTGTGGGTTACTGGAGGTTCGGGTCGCAAGCGGAGAGTTGTGAACAGCCCTTCGTCCAGCAGTGGCTGCGACCTATTGTTTTTTGTACAATTCACAAACAAAAATTCATCGTAATCATCACAATAACGTTGTGACCTTAAAAGTAAACATATCTAAAAGGAGACGTTTGGGGCAATAGCACATACATATTTTGGTGATGCTTAAACAACAAGTTGCTTTGTTCTGACATCCCAACAGAAGCCAGATGCGGTGGACATCGTTCTGATGCCTTCCGCCGTCACAAAGATGGACTTCCTTCGTGCAGGGTGAGTGAGCTTGCGACTGGTAAACGTGAAAAGGCGAAACCGCGCGACGCGTCGCGAGGACTTGAGTTTGAGAAACCGCTGGAGTTGGGCCGTGAGCGTCCGGAGGACATGGCAGTGATGGCGTGCGTTCCCCTCCAGGATGCGGAAGGAAAATGCAGTCCGCGAGGACTCCACGAAGCTACAGGCCAAAGAGGTTTCTCTCAAGCCGCAGGTGAGGGAGGGTTGCGACCGCATTTCTGTTTAAAAGAGATTTAATTAAATCGAACTCCTCAAGACGCCCGCGGCAGCAAGGCGTGGCGAACGCTTGAGGAGACACGGGCAACCCAAACCGGAAAACAACGCATCAAAGATACGTTGTTGGCATGTAGTTAATTAATAACAATGTTATCATGCATGCCATAAACAAGATGCCAGTCAGACCAGAAACATAGCAGAAGTCGTCACCTCTCCAATGAGATGGCTCCACTTGGCTACAGTGCCTATACATTTGCAAGATTATCTTCAAACTCTTCCACTCTGTTGTTTAGTCTTCACACAAATAAACATAGCCATATGTTTTTGAGTGGAAATATTATAAATAAACCTTTAACTATTAACATTATGGAATATTTAGGAGTGAACACATGGAATGTACCCATAGTTGATGTGTTTTCATTGTCACTTAACATTATAGGCGTACCAAAAACTCGTTTAACAAAACACCAATGTGTTATTGAAGCAAATGGTAATTTAGAATGATGTAATACTATAGAGTATAAGTTTACTGTACAGAGAGAAAGAGCTGTGCAGACCTGCAATAGCTCATGCCACTGCTGGCAGAATGGCCTCCAACGAGGGAGTTCTATAAACCCACCAATAGTGAGTTCTGGAGCCCCTAAACTGGTCAATCGTCTCGGAGGAGGTGGAAATACTCACACTTTCCCCAGCACACGTCACCTACCGATCTGCTGTGGTTGTGACCAGTTGCACCGCTGGGTGATGGACAGAGGCAGGGAGATCTGAGAAACTTGCAGCAGTTTTAACTGCTGCGGCGGCGGGAGATCAAAATCTAACACCAGCAACCTCTGAATTGCCCGTCCAGCGCGCTCACCATAACACCACAGCAAGCGTGATTGTAACGTTGTAAATTAGATGGTTTGATGCGAATGTGAAGGAATGCCTTTTCGTCGATAAGCTAGTGACCCCTTCTGGTTGCCCAGCGTTTGACGTGTTGGATGGGTCTGGCCCCCCAGGTGCAGGGCGGCTGGTTCAGCATCGACAGCGAGGAGTACGAGGCGATGGACGTGCAGGTGCGCGTGCTGCCCTGGAAGCTGAAGCTCTTCTGCCACAGCTCCATCCGTGACAAACTGCTGGTCGAAACTCTGCCGACTTTGTGAAATTGTTCGCGTTTCGGTGTTTCTTTTACGAGCGTGAACAAAATAAAATCCGTACAATTGACTTGTGAATTGTGAGTTGAAATAAGCAAAGTGGACGCCGTTCTGGCAAGACCAGTACTTGTAAAGTGGAGTGGCCAAATTAAATGTCCAATAAACTGTGAAAATGTCATCATTATACCTATTTACATCACACATGATTTGAAAATGTATTACGTTTTCTGCCAATCGTTCCCGATCCGTGATTTTAAGCGAAAATGGGTCAACATAACATATCACTTGTGTAATTTAGTTACGTAACGCTACACTTTTAATCTATGTAACCTTGGCAGTGTCACGGTTACACATATCAATACAAGTGTTCTGTAGCTGCACCTTCAAGGTTACCAATCCTACCATGGAATGACTTCAAATAAAATAATACATTTCAACTCGAGTAACGGTAACCGAGAGAACAATGAATTAACAATGCTCCTTGGATGGTTCAAAGCACGCCTGCCACATTCCATTTAACATGTAAACATTGACAACAAGTTATGGGACCATTCGACTTTGCTCGTAACTAATGGGCGTGGTTTGCGGTGACGTCGGGGCTTCACATTTCAGCCGGGTCTGCCTGTGGCTCGCCGACCCAGATAATATTTCGACAGCCGCCACACCGCGCCCAGTAGATACCTCTTGCCATGTCTGCAAGTCGCGTGCCAGCTCCTGGTCTACCGGCGATACAGAAAATATTCTGAGAGAAATGAAGGTCCTGGATGCAGTAGAGTGGCAACGGTGGATGAGGAGGAGGAGGAGGGTGACGCAAGGGTGCGATGCGAATGTCGCCCTAGTAAGTGCCGTTGGCGTGCATATCGCGAGTCATGTCGTGCTTGTCGCTGACGCGCGCCTGCAGCAGCATGTGCTCCACGACCCCCACGCGCACGTCCATGTGCTCCATCTCCTGCTTGAGGCGGGTGAGGGCCTGCTTGATGCGCACCAGGGGACCTGTCCCAACAGAAACCGCACGCGCGCCGCTTTGTGTTACGTGGAGTAGTTCACGTGGCTGGGATAGGGGCTACATTGGCCGACTCGGTGTGCGGTGGCGCTGCATCGTTCGGTTTGTTTGGCACAACGTCCAACGGTTTACTCCACGTGCTGGGAGCTTCTGCAGGAACAGTGCTCTCCTATCGGCAATGGTGACAACGCCCATGCATCGCGTGCACACTTGGTACCGAGTCTTGCTCCGGGCGACTAACATCTACGGGGGTAGCAACTTCGGCTCATGCGTAACAGGTAATCATCCAAACCAAGGACGCTTGGATGCCCTCTCGGATGTATAGCAACAATATACGTCAATTCCAAGCCACACTACCTCACAACGCACGTGCGAATGCTTGTTCACAGTGTAAGCAAATGTACACCAGCGCAAACGCTGAATTTGTAATGGTGGTCTAACCCGATAACGTGATACTGGTCTGTTCCTTACGGGCCTTCAAAACATGCCAGGAGGGGTTACCAGCCCTGCACACAAGGTCCCTGACTGGTGGGCAGAAGGGAGGGGGGGACATCTTTGGGGAGTTGCGAGTCCAAGACCACAGGGGTGCACAGTAAAGCACAACCGAGCATCTGTACGTGGTACTGCATTGGCCATCGTGAAGCTAAAGGCAGTGGACGGTGATGTCGGGGAAAAAATGGTCCACCGCTTGGCCGATTTCTTAAGTAGAGGTTGCGTATATGCGTGCAACACAATGTATACACGTACACACAGCTATGCGTGCAGTTGCATGGATGCGTGCAGCAACAAACTATCCACACTCGCCTCCATCAGTCATGCTGCTTCCTCTTTCCTCCATGTCTTGTTTCACCTTTTCGAGCTCTTCTGTGATCTAAATTGTGAAAACACGCACTTATTTTATGCTGTGTTTAAAGTATGAGTAAAGAATACAAAATGCAGGTTCTTCAATGGCACACTGAAACATTCAATATTCCACGGCTTATTCTGATACTGTATCTACATCTCAACCATTTATGTAAATAGATTAAACTTACCACTGGACAACACAAGACTAACACCACTCACTCATGACTCTTACATCACTAACACTGCCCATGCTTATCACTCATCATACACACCACTCATGCCACTTGATATCAACTCTCACCTTTTACGCAAACATCTCCACTAAGTTGTCACTAAGCCACCCCTCAACATATTCCACCCAACCACTTCCCCCCCCCACCGCTCTTTCACGCCGCTCACCCATCTTGGCAAAATGGCAATCTGATAACGGATTTCAGTTAATTTCATGGTTAGCGACGGTTATCAACGAGCAGGCGTTCTGAATTGCTGACTGGTTCGGAAAGGTTCAATTACGATGATTGGCATCCATTTATAAAATCCATTTATAAATTGTGTGCGGGAAGTTCTGAGCATTGCAACGCACACCTTCGCATTTGTGAGCGAGCGAGCGAGCGTGCGTGTCCGTGAGTGAGCGTGCGTGTCCGTGAGTGAGCGTGCGTGTCCGTGAGTGAGCGTGCGTGTCCGTGAGTGAGCGTGCGTGTCCGTGAGTGAGCGTACGTGTCCGTGAGTGTGCGTGCATGCGTGTCCGTGAGCGTGCGTGTTCGTGTGAGCAAAGGTGAATGGACAACGTTTGTCTCGCAAACCTCGGCAAGCGTCTGCGCTCGCTCGGTCACCCCTCCGCTGCCCTGCCGGTACTGATCCTTGACCTGAAAGCAACAGCACCGTGTCACTGCCACTGTGAAACCATCGTTATTTGCAGCACGTTTCACTCTCGCCTCTTATATGCATATATACAGTGAGGGAAAAAAAGTATTTGATCCCCTGCGGATTTTGTACGTTTGCCCACTGAAAAAGAAATGATCAGTCTATAATTTTAATGGTAGGTTTATTTGAACAGTGAGAGACAGAATAACAACAACAAAATCCAGAAAAACGCATGTCAAAAATGTTATAAATTTATTTGCATTATAATGAGGAAAATAAGTATTTGACCCCCTCTCAATCAGAAAGATTTCTGGCTCCCAGGTGTCTTTTATACAGGTAACGAGCTGAGATTAGGAGCACACTCTTAAAGGGAGTGCTCCTAATCTCAGCTTGTTACCTGTATAAAAGGCACCTGTCCACAGAAGCAATCAATCAATCAGATTCCAAACTCTCCACCATGGCCAAGACCAAAGAGCTCTCCAAGGATGTCAGGGACAAGATTGTAGACCTACACAAGGCTGGAATGGGCTACAAGGCCATTGCCAAGCAGCTTGGTGAGAAGGTGACAACAGTTGGTGCGATTATTCGCAAATGGAAGAAACAAAAGAACTGTCAATCTCCCTCGGCCTGGGGCTCCATGCAAGATCTCACCTCGTGGAGTTGCAATGATCATGAGAACGGTGAGGAATCAGCCCAGAACTACACGGGAAGATCTTGTCAATGATCTCAAGGCAGCTGGGACCATAGTCACCAAGAAAACAATTGGTAACACACTACGCCGTGAAGGACTGAAATCCTGCAGCGCCCGCAAGGTCCCCCTGCTCAAGAAAGCACATATACATGCCCGTCTGAAGTTTGCCAATGAACATCTGAATGATTCAGAGGACAACTGGGTGAAAGTGTTGTGGTCAGATGAGGCCAAAATGGAGCTCTTTGGCATCAACTCAACTCACCGTGTTTGGAGGAGGAGGAATGCTGCCTATGACCCCAAGAACACCATCCCCACCGTGAAACATGGAGGTGGAAACATTATGCTTTGGGGGTGTTTTTCTGCTTAGGGGACAAGACAACTTCACCGCATCAAAGGGACGATGGACGGGGCCATGTACCGTCAAATCTTGGGTGAGAACCTCCTTTCCTTAGCCAGGGCATTGAAAATGGGTCGTGGATGGGTATTCCAGCATGACAATGACCCAAAACACACGGCCAAGGCAACAAAGGAGTGGTTCAAGAAGAAGCACATTAAGGTCCTGGAGTGGCCTAGCCAGTCTCCAGACCTTAATCCCATAGAAAACCTGTGGAGGGAGCTGAAGGTTCGAGTTGCCAAACGTCAGCCTCGAAACCTTAATGACTAAGAGAAGATCTGCAAAGAGGAGCGGGACAAAATCCCTCCTGAGATGTGTGCAAACCTGGTGGCCAACTACAAGAAACGTCTGACCTCTGTGACTGCCAACAAGGGTTTTGCCACCAAGTACTAAGTCATGTTTTGCAGAGGGGTCAAATACTTATTTCCCTCATTAAAATGCAAATCAATTTATAACATTTTTGACATGCGTTTTTCTGGATTTTGTTGTTGTTATTCTGTCTCTCACTGTTCAAATAAACCTACCATTAAAATTATAGACTGATCATTTCTTTGTCAGTGGGCAAATGTACAAAATCAGCAGGGGATCAATTACTTTTTTCCCTCACTGTACATATTTTCACGTGCCCTTTCAGCAATCCCGCTGCTGGATGACGGCCTTCCCACGCCATGCGAGTCGCGCGAGTTACCTGGCCGTATTTCACCACGCTGGTTAGCGCGAGTTGGTGAAGGCGGAGAGCACGAGATGCGGTAGCACAGTGCAGTACAACAATGGATTTGCTGCGCTGCCCTTTGCTGCTCAGTGTCGCCCCGCAAAAGCCTACAGCATCCGCTCTATGCACGGCAGTGGCCCCATCCAGGCTCAATTCTACTTGGGTTCTGAGATTCCTTAAAGGCTGAACGAAAAATCCAGCTTCCCGCTCGGCACGGAAGGTTTGCGGTCAATTGGAATGCACATCGCGATCATCGCCTCCTTCCACGAAATACTTGGCAGGATCCTGTTGACAATGAGTCACATGAGACGGCTCTCCTGGGTGAACAAGCGTAATCATTTTAATTGGCAACGTAATGCGAGTGCCCTGCTGTCATACCGCCTCCGGTTTTAACATTGTTATTCCAGGTGCACCTTCACGGTTTGGTAAACACTTAAACCTTTTAAATCCCAAATTGTATCTTTCATTCGCCGTTTGGTTAAATGTTGCATTGGATTACATTCTGTAAGAATGAAAACAACTGTTTTGGACTGGCATCACCGTTAATCTGGAACGAGCATTGGAGCTGTGCACTTTATAATGTAGATTGAAAAAGTATTTTTTTTAGAACTGCTTTTTGTGTTCAGTTTGTTGTCCTTCCCCCGCACCTTGGCTAAGTACGGTGCAAAAGAAGTTCACACGTACATACATGAACGCTGGGTCTGGCATGAGTGCCAGGGCTGGTAGTGTAAGTTGATGAGGGGGATGGATGCCCTTGCCTGCGCCAGCTGCTGCTTCAGGGTTTGTCAAGGGGGTAGTGCCCAGGACTTTTTCAGACATTACTTTCCAATGAAGTCAGCCGTGGCCAGGATTCGAACTTAGGTTTGCCGGGTCCAATTGCGCAGTGCGCCACCGCCCCAACCAGCGCATTACTCAGTACCCGGCACTGGCAGCAGCAGCGGCAGAAGTTGGTTTTCGGGACGTTTCGAACGACGCCCCGGAGATCCACTGAAGGGACAACATTCAGACTCGCGAATCCATCCAAGCACCATTCTTCTTGACACAGCCATGAATGGTAAGCATCTCTAGTCACCAGAAGGGTAACGTGAACTCATCGCACATCCCGCACCTCCGATTAGCACGGTTGGCTGCGTACGGTGCGAAAGAAGTTCAACAGACGTACGTACATTAATGCTGGGGCTGCCATGAGTGCCGGGGCTGTTGGTGTAAGTTGATGAGGAGGAGGGGGGGGGGGTGCCCTTCCTTGCCTGCGCCAGCTGTTGCTGCACGGTGCGGTACTGCTGGATGAGACCCTCGAGCTGTGTGTTCATGTACTTCTCACGGCTCGAGATTTTCTCCAGAGTCCAAGACATCTCCTCTTGCAGTCTCTCCAGCTGACCCTGAGATGTAGAGACAAAAAACAAAGGCAAAGATCCCCAGTGTAGCCTTACATACTGTCGGGGCAAGTGCTGTTAGCGAGCAGCACCTATGAAGGCCGGCTCAGTACATGAGGTAGTCGGTGGCCAGCACCACGCCCAGCCGCCTTTGTCTCCCAAGTGGTGATGTTTACACACTGCACCAGGTACTCATTTGAGGCTGAATCGACCTAAGGGAGGAGGCCCAGGACCGGTTCAGATAATCGTCATTGGTGATGGCCGTGAGGTGGAATCGAACTCGGATCACCGGGTTCATAGCGCAGTGCGCTAACCACTACACTACCACTCTCCACTACACTACCGATATAGAGATAACACGCATGCACGGATTCACTTACAAACGCACCAGCACATGTACCAACAATTATTCCTAAACACATGTACACGTATATAAAAACCCGTGCATTTATGCCAATAATAATCATTACAGCCCTTTATTAATACACTGCTCGATGTCATGTCATTCATGAGGATTGTTTGACCTTAACTTCACCATGCTGGTCATGCTCAGGACTGGTTCAGATATCACTCGCCACTGATGTTAACTGTGGTCAAGAATCAAACTCTGCTCTCTGAGATACTAGCGGAGTGCACAGACCACTGCCACCACTGCTCCATGCATCTGCAAATCCATACATGTCGAGTACACAACATACACAGGTGGGTCATTGCCTGCACACACCAATTCCCACACACATCAGTATATTGACTGCACCATTGATTATTTTCGTAGATACAACAATGTTAGTATCAAGTAAGGTTGTGTAAATTCAGAGTGTGTGTGTTGTGTGTGTGCACATGTGTGTGTCTAGACGCAAGCGTGTACACAAACAAGACAAACCTTGCTGTCCAGAAGGGCCGAATCGATCCCCTCGCGATGTTGGTGCATTTGCTCAATATGAGATCGCCAGTCCTAAGGGTGGACATAATCAGGCATAGATCACTCTCAGGGTAGGCGTGTTCCCAAGTCGACGTGTCAATTGTGGACCTGCAGCACACGTGGTTCATTCAAAGTATAAGGTGATATGTAGCAACACTCGGTGGACTTATTAGGAACCCACTGGAGCTATGCACTTTTAAATCTGGATTGAAAATACATTTCTTGAGGACAGCCTCGGTCGCTTCGTCCGAGGCTGTCCTCTCTCCCGTGTTTCCCTGGCCCGATCGCCCTCGCCCCCCCACCCGCCTTTCTATCCCAACATGAAGCGTCTCGAGACGCGGTCGCATTCAGGCGCCGCGCGCGTAGAATTTCTCATCGTTAGTTACGGCTCGACTCTTCCGGTCGCGTGTTGGGAGGGAGTGAAAACCTTGTGGTCGCTGCGCACGGTGACCCGCAGCTGAGGGAGGATGCGCTCCAGCTCCAGGCTCCACGCTGCTGCATCGGTCTGTGACTCCAGGACGTCGGCCCCAGGTGTCTCCTGTCCATCGCCAAATCGCCACAACCGCCCAAACGTCATTACCGTCAAAGGTAATGTACTGCTACACGGCAACAAACTTTATTTACAATTGTAATTGGTAATTTGAAAGTTTGAAAACAGCTAATCAAAGGCTATTTTTTATTTACTTAGGAATGTATCGACATGTATATATGTCACGTTGACATTCTTTTGTCAATCCACTGCTTGATGAAGGCTTCCGCATTGATGGTCATTGGGTCTTGTTTGACCATACTTCACCACGCTGGTCAGTATGTTTTGGTGAAGGGTGGGCCCAGGACTGGTTTAGAAATCACTCACCAATGATGTTAGCTATGGCTGGGAATCAAGCTCAGGTCACTTGGTTCATGGCGCAGTGTGCCACAGCACCGACCCACGCATATTATAGACGTCATGGAAGGGCATATTTGGGGATGTTGTGACCAGAACAACACCTGTCTGCGAATTGTCTCCCCAGTGATGATATTTACAAATCACACCAGATACCCATTTAAGGCTCAGCTGCCCTCAGCGAGGCACAGGATAGATCTGTACACCACTTTCCACAGTGGACATCTGGGGAAAAGATCTTCAGAGCTCATCGGATTCCTCCAGTCTAAATAAAAATTCTGAATCTGGTGAAAGATTCTGACTCTGATATGCAAACTTGCATGGGTAGAGATGCAGGCTGGCAAACACGAGACATTGCACAGAGTGATGTTAGGAGGGCTGCACACACACATGGGTACCTGTTTCTTGCTCCGAATCTTGTCCAGGTCTAGCAAGCTTTCATCCTCCTCCTCATCTTCATAATCATCGACATTCCCCTGTTGTACACAGTCATTATTAACATCACTCAATCAACATGTACATGGACCGTCCTTTTACAAATCCCCTGCTGGCTGAGGGCTTCTCCATGGCGTGCGGCGACCCAAGTCATTCGGCAGGATATACACACACAGACATACCCCGGCACTTTCTTCCACTTTATCAAGAGTGAGCTCGGAGTCGTCAATCACGATTGCCTCATCTTCCTGCACCTCCTCTGGATACACCGGCCTGTAGGGATGAGACAAGAATAAGGTAGTGCACTCTCATGGTAAATAAAAGCATGAACGAGTTCATAGGTTTTGACCCGAACCTCAACAAGAAAATATCGACAATTGTATTTAATATTTCATGCAACCAAATAATAACCCACTGAACAACAAATCTCTTTTGCAAGAGAGGCTCAGGGACAAAAAATTAAATCAAGGCATATTTTGCATTCGATTAAGCTGATGAAGCATAGGACAACTGACAGTTGCTTCACTAATGAGATGTTCACTTAGCTGTGAGTTTACATGGAATATGATGAAGAGATGAGCCGGAAAAAACTGAGTAGCTGCAGCTGACCGCACCGAAGCAAAATAGATTTCCCTAATTTTAACCCAATTATGGTATCGTATCAGCGTCACGTCATGGGACAGAATCCGTTCGGATCTCTTACACAGCAGTCTAACTTTTTGTGTCAGAGATGGGCACAGAAGTCGATAGCACAGAGCCACCTGTGAAGCCCCTTCAAGTGACTTCTGGTCTACACAGCAGCCGATTCCACTTGGAACAGAATTTAATAAATTTGTGCATTTTAAGACTGATTTTGTGCACAGTGGTAATATGGCTGCGTGTCTCGTAGCGAAGCAAGTACATTTGCCATGCGAAGTTGCTGTGCGTCAGTGCGGCCTCTGCCAACCGATCCAGGGTGTAGCATACGAGCTCCCCACAGCCCGTCTTAAGTCGCGACGGAGGGAAATCCACTGCAGCTCCCTATAAACGCACACAAGAACACCGCAGCATAAATACATGATGTACGTCCGCATGCAATTCTGCCACTGGAATCATGACATGAGACGAAACATTTTTGGTGTTTTCATAACTTTCACATATTGTCAGAGAATGGTTCCAGAAGGGTAACTGTGACCATTTTAAAATGTGTGCGACTGCAACCCTTTTGTGCTGCTTATTTGTATTTATCGGTATTCAAACGTGACAGCAATATGTTGGAAAGTACAGGAGAGTGCTTATGTGTAAATAATATCATAATTTAGACATTGTTGTATGAAGGCCTCTATACTCCAGTGTCAGTAATGGAAGTTGTTAAATCATATTTCACCACATTGGTCAACGTGGGTTGGTGAAGGGTTCGGGGCCCAGCACTGGTTCAGTTATTCATGGCCAGCAAATCAAACTCAGGTCACCGGTGCCATAGTGTTGTGCACCAACCGCCGTGCATGCTGCCACTGCACCCCCATGATGAAGCGTCAATTCATGACATGTAATACTTAATATGCACAAATCAAATGACATGGCGCGGGGAGGACTTCACCCGGCAATGGATCGACAAATGTCTTCTAATTATTGTTACCATCATCGTTATCCAAGGTATGCGTATCGTTACCGTGTTCCGCAGCTCTGTGAGGATGCGCGCCAGCGTGGCGTTGGGGTCATCGTGCTCGTGTGGCGCTTCGAAGGGCCGTCCCGCCTGATTGATCAGCCAGCTTGCGAGTGAAGCAAATGCATGGAACTGCTCGCCTGGATTAGTGGCCAATGCAAAGTAATGCCTGGGAAATGAAAAAACAGCGCAGCTTATAATATACGTGCAAAATTCTTATTTTTTTAAACCAAGGACTTAAATTGTGATGTAGCATTTATTGTGTCTGTTCTGCTTGTAAGAGAACGGCTCACTGCATAATTTTGGAGAGAGATGCACCAAGAAGAAAACCAGTGGCACCCCAAAAGTGTTCCATTCCAATGTTTCACAACTCCAGTCCTCGTGACCACCCAAAGTCCACCTTTTCGTGATTACCAGTCTTTTCTACTCATCCAAATGAAGCCACTGCACACACTGCATGCATCGGATTGTTGGTAATCATGGAAAGGTGTACAATTTGGCGTTACGAGGACTGAAGTTAGGAATTACTGTTCTATACCACATGCGCCCATCCTCTATACCCCATGCTATGCCCGTTTGTTCCTCCCTCCAACAGTCGTACTGTTTGAATATTACCGATAACGCAAGACAATCCAGTTTGGATTTATATGGCATCTAAACAAAACCGCATTTAAGACGCTGCACAAAATAGTAGAACATGCGCAGTAGGGAGACAACCAAAATTGGGAGGTATATACAGCAAAATGACATGTTGGACACTTAATAAATCTAGCGATTATATCTTGACATATTGGGCGGCAGCAAGGAGTAGAGATAATGTGCAATGTCACTAAACTTGCCTAGAGAAAGGCTTCATGTTGTGTTGTTTGAGGAAAGTCTCTTCGTATCGAAGGAGCTTCAGTTTATCCCCGAGTTCCTCCATCGTGAGGAACGCCTGATGTGCTGTCCCTGGCCCATGCTCACTCTCCGTCCCGTCCATCTGCGCGAGACACAAAGCATCTTTCCACTGGCCTCTGTCGGCTGCGCGGTCAGCTGACCTGTGCCCCACATACATGTTAGGATGAGTGTTTGTGTTTGACTTGTGGATGACAAACCAGGTTTCAAAACCAGCTCTGGGATAATTTGAGATATGACCTCATCCACTCAATCGAGGGACAAAGTGTGCAGCACCTTAATTACATTTAATTAAAGCGACTCACTCGGTCGGTACACAAGCAGCTTGGTAGATTATGCAAGGAGGAAGCTTGTGTACGAGAGCTCAGCAGACTGGGTCACAAGCGGGACTTGAGAGAACTTGCTGCTGCTCAAGTGCAAAGCAGTGGGGGGTGGGGGGCAAACCTGCCCGTTCAATTGATTGTAAGTGACTGCATTGTTTATATGTGGACGTCTGTGCAACCAGAGAAGTCAACATATAAGCAGGCAATTAAGTTGATCGTTTATACGGCGCACGATGATCCGGCTTCTAACATGATCCGGCGGGGTCCCGGGCCGATCCGGCAAAACCTCTCCACCAGTCCATCGATCGGCACCATGTAGCGTGACAAAATAAAGCAGCTATGCTTGATTTCAGTGTTAAATATTATATAGCGTACATTATACACTACATACAACTTAAACAATGAAAATACTGCACGTGTATATACATCACCCATGCAGAGTCGTCGAAAATGGAGTGGTAAGTACGGTGGAGTAACTTTTTAAAGGATACGTATTTATTTTTGTCCATTTGTATGTTTGTTTTATTTATGCCAATTTAACATAGTAAACACGTTGATAAGGCAAACACCTAAAAAATATGTCATCCAAGAATGTAAAAAATAAGCTATTTAAAATTATGATGATGTAGTGATTATCCAACGTTTTTGTTAAATCAGGCGCTTCCTCCTTCCCCCCCCCACCGAAGCCGCCGGATAATCGATGATCTCTGTAAGTTGCCAAACTGATCGCTCTGGCGTGGATCCGCCTTAAAAGGACACTGCATTTTACGGACAAGACGACATTGGCTTCCGAGACGCAGGCGTGAGCAACACAGCTGCTGGGAGAACAGCGTAGATACATCACGACCTTGCACGGCTCGCAAAGTTTCAGTTTTCAGTTGATTTATTTTGGTATAGCCCTGTGAGCCATTCGGCTCTTGAATCGGGTGCAACCACAACAAACAAAATAACTAAAAAACGGTCAAGAAAACATCTTAAAGTGACTATGTGACTGTGCAAACAGAAAATCGATGAAAAAACCATCAAAATATTCCTGAAAAAAGGCACCGTACACCAACGCTGGTGTGTAAAAAATCCCAGTGGGATGCAAGTCAAACAACCACAAGAAAACTTAGATTAAGGCCGTCAGTCTAACTCCGTACTACAACAAAACAAACATGTCCAAACAAAAAAAAACGTTTTCGAAATCACCAAAAAATAAAGTCATAATTGCAACGTAACAGTGATAACAGGGACACAGTTAGTTTAGTTTTATTTATTTAGGTATAGCCCTGTGAGCCATTCGACTCAACCTGGCTGGTGACAGCGAGGAGGAGAGCCTCGTGGCTTATTCTACAAACAAGGCGGATGAATGGAGGTGCTGAAGCAGTCATTAGCTACCAGAGAGGAGGATGGGGTGGGGGGTAATAGCAGGCCTGAACACAGTCACCTTTAGCAGAGGGGGCTGTGAGAGAGTAGCAAGTCCACTCCCCTCACCACGGTGCGCCTGGTGGTCGTGGTGTGTGTGTAGATTAAGAGTGAGCGAGAGAGAATTCTGCCCACCGGTTGGTTGCTTGTGGTTTTATTTAATAGAGCGATAAACCCGCAGCGACGGGACTTGGCTATGGGCTCGGCTGCCTACACTTCTCCGACGGTCACAATGAGCCCAAGTCGCCCCTCGTCGGCGTTCAACGTCCACGTTGAACGTTTACCGTGAGAGGCTTTCTAGGGAACGGACAAGCCTTCTCTGCCACACAGTCATGGACCGCCTTGCCACTCACGGCCACCAGCGGAGGGGAACGCTGTCACACACAAAAACCCCAATACCGCTTCGCTCAGCTCCGACTTTCGAAGTCTTCAGATTTTTTATAAAACACAAATAACGAAGGTGATGAACTCCCAAAGAGGGAGATTGGGTCACGTTTTTGGGAGAGGGGTTGGCCGTTCAAAGCAGCGATCGTTTCAGAATCAAGAATCTTTGTTTAGACCGGAAGAGGAATCCGATGAGCTATGAAGCTCTTTTTCACCGATGTCCAGTAATGGGCGGGTCAGCAAGTCACAGCAGCAAACAATAAAAAAGTGCCAATAGAGATAATGTAAGCAAGTCACTAAATATAAAGCATGGGGAAGGCAACAAAGAACAATAACGGAACAGTGCCAGACCACACCAAGACAAAGCCCCTCAATAACTACGCTGCTACATAAACCCTCTCTGTCTCAATCCACTGCTGGATGAAGGCCTCTCCCACCACGCCGTGCCGGTCGTCGGGGCTGTTGGGCCATACTTCACCACGCCGGCGATCAGTGCACACGGGTGAGTGAAGGTGAAGGCGCCCGGGGCCGACTCCGATATCATTCAGCCACTGATGTTAGACGCGGTCCGGGATTCTACCCCGGGGTTTCATCGCTTTTATCGAAGCAGCGCCCACCGCTGCACCACGAACAAAACGAGCCACCGACCTTTCTGGAAATTGCTTAGAACACCGTGCGACTAATAATGGTGATCGTTTAAATTGTTGTAATCATTTTAATCGTTGCACTCGTTTTAGTTTGCCCACTACGAGAGCAAAGGTAACGCCACTGCTAGTCGAGGCAGAGCAACTGCACAATTCCAACCTCGGTCAACTCGTACCTCGGTCGACCCACCGGCGTCTGGAGCTCGGCAGAGAGAGATACAGGAGGGGTATGGGGGGGGGGAGGAGGAACCTGTGTTTGGTTCGCGATTAACGTGTTAGCGACGTCGCGTGTGAGGCCGAGCGAGCGAGCGATTAAGCCGTGAAAACAACCAGGCCCCCTACCGCTTGCCGCCTCCTGCTGCTGCTAGGCCGCGTTACCGTGGAGACGGCGGGCGCCGTAGCCACGTGACCCGAGGGCGGCTCACACACACACACGTGACTTCCCGCCTCGCAACACGTGGTATGCCCATTGCATACCTGTCAACCCCTTATCAGTGCCCTACCTTATTACAGAGCAGTTCAGACCTTATTGGCCACCCCGTGCCCTTTATACATCTCAACGTTCATCCTACAAAGCCCCATCACAAGGGAGAAACACAAACAAATAGACAAAATATAGTATAGTGTATTGTATAGTAGTGTATTGTATAGTAGTGTATAGTGTAGTGTACACCATACCTGTCAACCCCTTATCAGGGCCATAACTTATTACAGACCAATTCAGACCTTATTGGTCACCTTGTGCCCCTTATAAATCTCAACGTTCATCCTACAAAGTCCCATCACAAGGGAGAAACACAAACAAATAGACAAAATATAGTATAGTGTATTGTATAGTAGTGTATAGTGTAGTGTACACCATACCTGTCAACCCCTTATCAGGGCCATAACTTATTACAGACCAATTCAGACCTTATTGGTCACCTTGTGCCCCTTATAAATCTCAACGTTCATCCTACAAAGTCCCATCACAAGGGAGAAACACAAATAGACAAAATATAGTATAGTGTATTGTATAGTAGTTTATAGTGTAGTGTACACCATACCTGTCAACCCCTTATCAGGGCCATAACTTATTACAGACCAATTCAGACCTTATTGGACACCTTGTGCCAGTTATAAATCTCAATGTTCATCCTACAAAGTCCCATCACAAGGGAGAAACACAAACAGCCCATTTTGTTTTGCTCACATTGGAACGGGCTGTACGCCGTATGGACCTGAGAACTCAATTTCCCTGGAGAAGAATACGGGGTAAACCGTCTGGGTTGACAGCCATGCAATTGAGATTCTCTGTGGGGCTGTGTTGAGCTTCTTTGTGGTGGCTTTAATTCTGGATATTTTGCATAACTGGTAACCGATAAAAATACACACACGGTTATTACCGGTTTTGCCGCACAGTATTGCGAATTGTCTTAAATCTATCCTCCCCAGCCTGCTGTGGGTAGACAGATGCGGAGGGATTTTAGGACACTTTGCTCCATTTATTCGGCTGCCACGCCACAACAGATCAAAATCAGAATCTTTATTCATACTGGAGGAATCCGATGACCTACAAAGCTCTTTTTTCCACAGACGTCCAGTTAGGGTGGGTCAGGTGGAATCTAAATTTTTTTTTAAATACACGAAGTAATAACATTGTCCATCTTCGCCCTACAGTACTGCACTACTATAGAAATAAGAATAAATGTACAGTAAGATGCGGGTTTTATTAGCGGTGCGCATCGCGACGAGTCATAGAATGTTTGTTTACATTCGTCTCAAGCCAATCAGCGCCCAGCACCGGACGATGTTACGCAGCTATGGTGTTTGGTGGGCAACGCAACTTTATAACTGCACTTAAGACTACTCTGGCGCGTGTGAATATACTTTTCAGTAGTTTCTTTTACTTGAGTTTTTTTATTTTAATGCTATATAGTATAAAAATATATATTATGTTCAATATAAATTGTCTTTGTTTACAATATGAATGGTAAGTTATGAAGTGTTCACAGTAGGAAATAGGTTACGAACGCATCCTCGTTGTACTGTTATAAGTTGTTCAATATACGAAGTTTCAATATACGAAGCTCCAGGAACGCATCTGGATATTTTCCAAATTAAGTGGTATCCAACTTGAATTGTAGTTTTGGCGCAGTCATTGGTGACCAGGCGGAGACTATTCACTCTCCGCAGGCGGATGAAACCCGCATTCACGCAGCAGCAGCATTTCAGTGGTTCCAACGCGATACTTGATCCATCAACTATCAGCTGGCCTCACGTAAAAATATGATGCAAAATACGCCCACCCGACGTTTACGATGTAAGGTTTACTTTTATTTCAAAACAGAACAAAATTACTTTAAAAAAACACATTCAAGCGATACATTGCACATACAAATGCTCACACTTTTCCTTTGAGAATGACTTATTAGCCAAAACGTTGCAATTTTTCATCCAAATCGGCAGAAATTGGTGGCGAGGCATCCATTTTCCCTCCACATTTTGGCAGCAACTTTTTTTTTTGCCAGGACATGAATCGGTCCCAAAATATTAACTCCATTTACGCATCCAAATAACTCCCCAGTTACCTTTTAATTTCATGAATGGCCGCACTCAACCCCAACCATTTGTTTGCGAAAAGTACCTCAAGTAAAAACAGAGCATTGTTATTCGACACACCTTTAACTGGACTATACTCCAAGCTGCCACCGCTGCTATTGTTAAAGCAATGGCTCCCATGTCAGTCACTCAGCGGGAAGTCTCTCGTTCTCCCCGACTGCCTCCAACATCTGGAACGCCATTCCCTCCAAATGTCCGTGCTGTTGACACCCGACCCGTTATTGTCCAGAATCACGAACTTTTTTGCCTTAGCCAAACAACATCAGTTCGCTACATCCCCCCCCCCCCCCACGAATAAATATGCCCGCTATGTCTGAAGAGCATCTCTAAGATGTGGCTACATTTAGATGCTTTTTAAATAGAAAGTGTCCTGGAGAATTCATTGCTTTAAATTTGTAAATGTAAGTAACGTGTACAAAAATGAAGGCAAAATGCATGTCCTTGCCAAACAATGAAGCATAAAAAATCCAAAACCACAAATCAAACAAAAACACTTAAGAATTGGCATTGAAAATAAATACCATGCTGATATTTAAAACCTTCAAATGTCTATCTATCCACCCTTAAATTATATTTAAAAACATGTCGCACTGTTTTATTGAGTTAACACACACTCACAAGAACATGATAAAAACATTTTGAAAAGCAACACAAATATTGTTTAAAAATGGATTGACCATTTAAGACATCTTAATCTGTTACACAGAGCGATCTAAATGGCAGGAGATGGAATATACCTCAAGAGCCTTTACCTACAATTGAATCCTGAGCATGTTGTGACTGTAGTGGATGATAGCAACGCAAGACGTGTCTGCATTGACCAAGTTTACAATGTCCGATTTATTTTGTTTCATGAACCGTGTTAAAAATATAAAGGGTGTCAATAACGGTATCTTTCGATTTAAAGCTTTCGTGACTGCATGGATTCATATTCTTGGTTCTTTCGGTAAAGTCACGTAGAAGGGAATTGTATTGTTTTATTATTTCCCTTCTACATGACTTTACCGACAGAACCAAGAATATAATAATAGTGGTATCGTCCATTGTTAAATCATAATTACACAGCAGTTTAAGCTCGGTCAATAAAACTACACACCTAGTGGTAAAGAAGCTTTAATTCGATCGAGTTTCAGGCCTCAACCTCCCCACGTCAGCCATGGCATTGACAACGCACAACGTATTGGGATTTCAGAGTCCCACGTGTTCTCCAAAATGTTGGCTGCGGTCGTTTCAAAAGCTTCCTGTTGTAAGCTGTTAAAGATCGCTAAAATGTAACATTTTTAGAGGTAAACTTTACCTTTTGCATAACTCCAACATTCGACCACAAACAAACTTGTCTGATTACAATTCTCAAATAATGGACAATACCTTTTACGGACACGGTGTATACCAAGGATATAAGCTATTCAAATGCGAGAGGCTTTGTATATTTATCATATATATACACACACACATCCAATTCAACAATTAAGTTCCCAACCACTGTAACATTAAATAGGCAAGTAAAGAGGGGTTGGTGGACCATTCATGGTACACTGTCAGTGAGCGCTGTGGTTTCCGAGCTAGGCTTGGTTTCATTGTGCATGACAAACGTAATGTCATCTGCCGCCTGGCACAGGTCTGGGTCGGGCAGTGAACTCAGTCCAGTAGAAGAGAAATGATGCCACTCCATCAGCTCGGCCATGGATAAAGCCTTGGTGCTGCGCTGAGCCGACGAAGAAGTGTTTGTCTCCCGGCCCAGCTGACATGTACGCTCCACCAGGCTCTTTTTATTTGCTCCTGTATGCAAGAAAAACAAGGAATACAAAAAACAAACATAGGGATTTTTGACCCTTCTCATTAACCGACGATGCATTTTGACATTTAAAGTTTTTATTTTTTTATCATCAGGGATACGTTGGCAACATACACGCATCCAATTATGACTTCAATGATATTCCAGGTAAATCCTTTAGGCATGAATAGTTAAACACATTCTTTATAATTACTGACAATTCTTAATGATAGCCGAAGTAATTATTATGTTTTAAGTGGGAAGGTTGATGCAAACCAAATCAATCAACGCAACATGTACAATACTGGATATCGATACCAAGCCAATCATGCCTGATAATTCAAATGCTCTAAGTGTTTTATAGGTTTTTATCCAGGGCTTAATTTTTCGTTTAATATTTTCCAGGTCGCCCGTAAAATTGAGTAGCGAAAGGTATCCTGGACGTGGAGTTCTGGGTGTAGAAATATATTTTTTATCAGGTAAGGCCCACTGAGCTATATAGCTCTTTTTCAGAAACAACCTGGCCATAAATGATAGCTCAACGAAGTGGCTTATGTGGACATTTTATAGCAGCCAAATACTCGAAACGCACGTTTCTAAATGTGGAGAGAAAGACCGGAGGACACAGAGAAAAATCCACGTTACCACGGGGAGAATCTGCAAACTGAAAATATACAGCAGACGTCAAGGTTGGGATCAAACCCACAACCTCCTGTATACCAGGCTAGGTAGTTAACATCTTGCCACCGTGGCACCCCAAAGATCCATAAAGACCTGGCTGATATTGATCCCACTGAGCCCCGTGCCGGAGTCCTCACCAGACAAGATTCCGCCATCTCCTTGACAAGGGCAGCCCAGCAGGTCATGCGTGAAGCAGCAAGTCCCCTCGTGCAGCGTGAACAGGTTGCGCAGTTCCTCCAGGGAGAAGCGGATGTGCTCCGAGCGCGCCGACGACGCCGCATCCACCACGCTGCCGGACAGGCCCTGCTTGCTCACCTGGCGCTGGTAAATCTTCTCCTCGATAGTTCCTGTGGAACGGGTGACACGGACGAGCAGCAGCGCATTTGCAGCTTGTTGGGAGGCGTTCGAGGTTCAAGCCCAGCAGTCGCCCTGGTTAATAATGATGGAGTAGCCTCATTTTAAAACATGCACCATCTGCTTCACTTTAAACATTTAAGATCCCGTGATGTTATTTGGAAGAAAAAAAAACTAGTTCATGTGTGCCGGTGTAATTGGCCAAATTTGATGAATGAATCGCAAATTAGTAAATTGGGAAGCCAGATAGCAACATCACCCACGACTGGCAGACTAATGCCCACTTGCTGGCCAGCGCTGTGTGCATCTTGTGCCACCAGGAATGTACTTCATGGGAGGTACGATATAAACAAACGATTATGAACAAACATTGTCGGAGTGTGAGACCAACAACTTGGAGCACACACGCCTTTGGAGAAAGGATATGGTCGATTGAGCAGAGTTGCGAAAATCCCATACATGCTGGGCTGCAAGGTGACCAAGATACGGCAGTAAATAAAGTAGGTAATGAACCTGTCTGAGCAGACCTGAGTGTTTTGCCCTCTGTGTGTACGTTTTCTCTGGGTGCTACAGTTTCCTCCCACATGCAAAACACCTAAAATGGACATCCTATTGAAAAACAGCCTTGAAACTGCTGGATAAATAAAACAAGCTTATTGAAATGCAGGCACAATCAGGCAATTGCATCGTGGTCTCTGCACAAACGTTAAATGTCACACCAGCGTGCATGGCCATGTGAGTTTCTCGAAGCACAAATCCATACACGTGCATGTTGCGCGAAGCACAGGTCCACAAGCAGACAACACACAAGTTGAGATTCGTGCGTACGACTGCACGATGCACTATACCCAGAAACGCCGGTCTTCTTCCAGCCTGATATCGTGAACCACAGGGCGTGTGTAACACCTGCTTAATCTCTCCTGCAAGTCTGTGGTTGAGATAAGGTGAATAAAACCCTGTAACATGAGCTTATTTGTGATCCAACATGTTATAACAACTAAAACATGGGGACCCTTGTGTGTCAGGAAAGCTTCAATTTATTGCAATCCACATCACAGCCAGGATGAAGAGTTTGCTTTTCTTTTCATTTTATTTGTACTTTCTTGGGGTTTTGTAAACTGTGGCAAATATGGTATTTGTTATTTGCGGATTGGCAGGCCCTTACAAACAACAGGTGTTGCGGATAAGATGGTCAGAGATAAGAAAAGCAGCACTCAACTGCAGTTGACTCTTTGTTACATGATTAAACTGAGGTTCTTTTGTGCAGATAAGCATTAGCTTTCGTTGCAGAACAATAAAAAATGCAAAGAAGATAAATTACTTGTAAGAGTGTTTCCAATGGCGGAGCCAGGATTTTCAGGTAGGGGGGGGCAACCCCTCCAGCAATGAAAAATTATAGAGGAGTTGTTAGTAAGTATGGAGTTGTTAGTGAGTAAGGAGTTGTTAGTGAGTAAGAAGTTGTTAGTGAGTAAGAAGTTGTTAGTAAGTAAGGAGTTGTTAGTAAGGAGTTGTTAGTAAGGAGTTGTCCCTTGCTTTTTATTGGACGCGTGTGTGGCGATGGCGCAGCCATCGATCGAGGGTCGAATTCGAACCGCGTTGTGTGATCGCCATCACGCTCGCTGAAGGTGAATGCCTTCAGGGAAGTCGTGTACTGTTTACGCAAATGTGCACAATTCTGTGAGTAACTTAAAACTGCTTTGCCGTTACTTATTTCCAATTATGGACTCAGACTATTGTCCTACCATCTCATAGAGTCCCTGGCACATAATAATATGCTACACAGTGGCAGTGGGGGTCGCAAAATGCCGATTTATTATTACTAATAAACCCTAATGATCGAATCTAAATTAGGGATTTCGATCGGATCATTGGGTGGGCACGTCCCACCCCACCCCCATGTGTGGTTGTCTAATTCCTTCCGCAGTTTCTTATGATATATAAATGTTTAATAGTCTCACCTGTGGTCAGAAACCTGTAAATATGCACGGTCTTGTGCTGTCCATCACGCCATACCCTGGCCATGGCCTGTCCACAAACATCGCAAAAAGAAAAGTCACCACTCATGTAAACATCATTATTGTTGAGAGTATGTATAAACAATCGAATATAATGATATACATGAATTTGTTTCTAAAAGCTTTAATTCTGATACATTTTCTGCTATGTTTATCGTAGCATTGGCATTTCAGCCAATTCACATTCTGAACAAACCTTAAAATAAATGTAATAATCAGGCTCAATATGATGTTTAGAAAAATAGCCTCCTGAAACTCGATTATAAGCAGTATGTGAGATATGCACCATTCACACAGAATTGTAACAAAGTATTTCTGTTAGGCTGACATGTCAGGAAACAGTCCTGGGGAGTGGTGAGAGAGCAAAAATATTGATTGACAAACAGTAACTAAAGATTGCCTTTTACACTGTGGTGCCCAGAGACAATTTCAAAACTGAAGAAAGCTGACAAATGCATCGACAGGATCTGTAAGCCATGAACAGACATTGATATCAAACATGGTCCCTTACATTTTTCTGTTTCGTAAATATTCAGAATGTTTAACTGGTTTTGTTTTTTGCATCAATCAAAATAATCAGTATTTTTTTATTGATCCAAAATAGTTTGTTTCCAAGTGATCTAAAAATGTGACGTCATAAGAAGCGACGTCACCAACATGGTATCACTGTCCACCCCTTTTCCTGCCAAAAGCAGTGTCACGTGACATCGGGTTACGTCACTTTTGGTCGCATTCAGACTTGTTCATTTGTTACTTATTGTGAATGAACTGGAAATCTAAAAAGAAAACATTGGAAATTTTCCTTAAAAATCATCTGAATTCCTAAATGTTTTTCATGTGAAACTCATCCCTTGTACATATGCATCCCCTTGACAGAATCTGATGAGTTTGAGCAAAAGGGCCACAGCACCTGCATGTCATTGGCAGGGTTCCAGTCGATGTCATAGAGGACGAGGCGGGAAGCTCCAACGAGGTTGAGGCCCACACCTCCGGCCTTGGAGCTCAACAGGAATACGGAGTGCGTGGAGAAGCGGCTGTTGAAGTTCTCCAGAAGATGCTGTCGTTGGGACACGGGCGTTGTGCCGTCCAGTCGCACCCAGCTGTAGCCCCAGCTTGAACAGCAGCGCGCCAGGACGTCGAGCATCTGGGTGGAGTTGCTTACCAGTACCACCCTGTGACACAAATACAGCCATTCTTCAGATCAAGTGATAGCCCTTTGAGACAATATAGCTATTGCAAGAGATGCCTGGGAAGTTATGGGTGATTTAGACACTTTGGATCAAGGTCAAGAGGTCATCGTAACCACCGTTGATGTCGTACACCTCACCACTTCCCATTCCATGATATTAAGCACCTGTGGAGATGCTCAGATGAGTAACCACCATGTATCGCAGCAAACAGAAATGCAGCAAGATCCATTATTGCAAATGTACTGCTGTGCTTCTACCTCTATGCTCGCTGCCTTCAGCACACACCGAGCGGTGGAGAAATGTGGTCAAAATAATCCCCTCGACTGACAGTGTGTGGAGGCCCTCGTCTAGCAGTGGAATGAGAAAAGGGCTGTACGTGCACATTTAAATAAAGGTGGCATATTAATATCCTGGTCGAGGTTCAACTCGGCCCATAGCCCCTCTGGGATCAATATGATTAGTAGCACGGCTTTGTGGGGTATCAACAGAGGTGGTGATGTGGAGAGACTTGTCCCACGATGGGAACGTGAAATTTCCACCACTGGCTTGGAGCCACCAACCGAGATGACCGCTGCCCTGTTGCTCGTGTGAGCAGGTGAACACTGAAGTTTACAAAAAAAAACAAGTTTGGTTATTTTGTTGACAGGGTGGGGTGTGACTAACCGCTCAACGGGTGTTTTTTGATGCATTGCCTCCAACAGTCGAGCAAGCACGCGCAGCTTCCCCGACTCTAGTTTGCTGGTGCTCTCTGGATTGTAGATCAAAGAGAACTCCTCGTAAAGTCCGTCGTATAGAGACACATCCGCCTCTTCCTCGGAGTCTTGTTTTTTCTGCCCCTTACGAAGAGCTTCTGCTTTCTGTAAACAGTTAAAAACGCAACCGACATCCACCTAAATCAACGCCATTTAAATTCAGGGTCCCAAACAGTGAATTATTAAAGATTTTCATTGATGTATTAATACGTTGTCACATGCTTAACGTTCAAAAATATTAAATGAAAATCCAACTTCATACGTTATATGACATTTATAGATTTTATTTTCAGAATTATAAATCATGAACCAAACTTCCAAGGACAGACGCATTTTGGGAAAACTTTCAGATGTGCTTATGCGTTATTATTCTTCCTTAACATACATTTTCGCTGCCATTATGATTCAAGTTAGATTTTTTATTGAGGCCAAATTTCTGTTGCAAGGCCCTGCACATGACCAGACACAGTCAAACAAGTTAAACTATGATGTGTACAAGTGTTTAACGTGCCAATGAAATTTTTATGGCTCACTGGTAAGTAAAAGAACAATCCTCACAAGCAAATGCATTGCCAATTATCGCAGCCAAATTAATTCGGCGACAAATCATTGCTAAATTTGTCTTGTTTTTCACTCTACAAAAGCTCCCTGCGCATGCGTGCACGCGCGGTACCTGCAGCGTCTTGTAGAGGAGGCAAGGATCGTTGCAGAGCTTCTTGAGAGCGCTGATGCACACAAGGTGAGGGCTACGGTCGGTGGTCACGCGGTTCAGACAGCTCCGCACGGCCGGAGACGCCAGAAGCCTGCGGTAGAGCTGAATCTGCAGTGGCGTGGGTCGGCACATCACCACAAACTCCCGCTTGGGTGGCAGGTAGCGCTGGTTGATCTCTTGCGTGCGCCGTAGCACAAAGAGGCCCGTCAACCGCTGCAGCTCGGCAGCGCGCGTCTCCCCCAGCTGCTTATCCTCCTGCAGGCGGCGTAGAAAGCACAGGCGTGCCGGTGGTCCACATCATCGTTGCAGGCTTAAGACTTACAACGTTGAAGAGAAGTGGCACGTCAGTCAAAAGTTCGTGCAGCCCTATCAACACGTCGGACACTTCTTTGTTAATTTATGAGGTAGAAAGTTGGAGTGGTGGGGCAGTAATTATCACGCTTCACTATGAAGCTAGCATCGAGAGTTTAATCTTGGCCCAAACTAACACTAGTGGCAATTGGTAATCTGAACTGGTCCTGGGCTCACCTTTATCAACCCACACTGACCAGTGTGTTGAAGTATGGTTAAACAACCCCCATGACTGACACAGAATGGGGAGTCCTTCATCAGTAAATTAAGGAAGAGATTTAAAGTAAATTATTATTGTAATACAGAAATGTCACATTTAGGGAAATGGAGTGGTTGAGAGAGATCAAGAAAAAAATAATACTAGCAAGACAGAAGGAGATTAACAGTTGTTGAATCAAATCAGACCCACGAATTGAGACAATCGAATCAAAGGTGAGGGAGGGCAGGTGGAGGTCAGTTGCTACATGTCGAGTCTTTTGTTACACTGGCGACATCGACGTAATTATTAATTGAATTAGATTTTTAAACATTGTACGTTAATGATTTAACTTGCAGAGAACACACCCTGACAATATCAACAAAACACTTTAGGGAACCACGGTGGAAATTCATTGTATTGTGGGTAATGGTGGTGGGTGAGTTGTTACACGCGCAGCAATGAGTGGCATGACTTTGGCATTGTCAGCTTTGCAAGTTAACCCACCAGGGAGGCAGAGGGCTGGTGTGACTGGACTATAGGTTCCTCAAACACCTTCCGGAAAGCTGCCGCGGAGCCCAGTATCCCAGGGTTCACAAACTCCACGATGGAATAAAACTCCTGCAGGTCATTCTGAATGGGCGTACCTACAAGCAGGAGCGACAAGAGGAGAAGAACGGGCGTCGAGCAGTTGCAGTGAACGAAGCCGCGAGGCTCCCAAGGGGTTGCCACTCTGGCTGATTTGCGCGCGAGTTGTCACGTGACCGCCGCGCAGCGATAGGTCACCCGTGAGGAGGATGCGTCGCTTGCAGGGCAGGCTGTCGATGGCCGACGCCGTTTTGATGCTGCTGTTCTTGAGGCGGTGACCCTCGTCACAGATGACTAGGCCGAAGGGGATGACGCGCACAGCATCGATGCAGCGCAGCACCATTTCGTAGCTGATGATGAGCACCGGGTAGATGGGTGACTTCATGAACTCCTCCACCTTGTGTTCCTGTTGTACACACACATTCAAGCCCAGAAGATCACTACGGTTGAGGAATGTTGTGCGAATGTTTTGTTGTACTTTTCTATCTGTGAATGATTAAGCCTATGACCAAATCACCCGGAATGCGCCCAATCACGGAAGCTATGCAAGGCTGAGCCTGAACAGTGCTTGGATGAGTGAGCACTATGCACAATGAGTTATTAGAAGCTGCAGGGGTAAATAAATGGTGGCCAGGAGGGAACAAGTGTAGAGAAAAAAAATCTAATGTACTTCTTTGGTGCACAAGTTTGCTCCCCACCGTTACCAACCATTATTGACCAGTGTGGTGAAATATGGTCAAAGTACCCCCAAGGCTCGCACTGTGTGGGGAGGCCCTCAGCCAGTAGTGGAAAGTAAAGGGCTGTGTACGTACGTACGCTTAACCCACCAGTGAACTAACATGCACAGTACCCATTTCTCAAGCTGGTCCGACCTTTATGCACATATAATGGCAATGAAGGCTCAAGTTGTTTTTAAAAACGTTGGCTGCATCGCTCAGATGGCCGCAAATTGTATAAAGACGTATTACGCTCATTCAATGAAAGGTCAAAATACCTCCCTGCTCAGGCTAGCATTGAGAAGCGTTCATCTCCGTTGACAGCCCTGAGCCAATGGTGGAAATTCCAGTCGTCATTTGCGCTCGCCCACGGAATAGCCATCACGCGCCTATCGTTAGGTTGTGCACGATGGAGTAAAGTGAAGGTACTCCCGTCTCTTCCAAGGTATGTGGCCAGCATGGGAGAGGAGGCCAAATACCATTCTAGAGGGCCTCTCTTTAGCGCCCTCCAGTGGAGGCCCCTTCCACCAGCATTGGCTTGAGCAAACATAGCTGCAGGCCTGCACTGCCTTTATCGCTCCACGGACCAAGGTAAACATGTAGAATTTGGCGATTTCATTCGGACGGACAGGCAGAGATACATACTTTTCAGGATATAACGCAACGTATTGGGGAACACATTTTTTTATAATGCTGATGCGAATGGGATACAACGCGATTGAGTGAACAGAACTATGTTGCGCGAATAGGAATAAGCGGTCGTGCGGCTGCCTCGGCGTAGCGTCACACAAGGCGGGATGCAGCTGGATGCTTCTAGATGCTACCCAAGCTCCTCAGTCTTTGTTCAGCCTGCGTACGCACCTGACGTGTTATCTCGGACTGTGCTTTACCCTATATTATATGTAATTTATTATAACGCGATTTTTCCATAACTCGGTGTTCTTCAGGAATGCTAATACCGCGTTATAGGAGAACAGACTGTACCTGGTCAACGGTGAAGACGCGGATTCTCTCCACGCCCAGCCACTTGTTAAATTCACGGCTCCAGTTGCGCACCAGGCTTCCGGGAGTGACGATCAGCACCTTGTGTAGGGAGGGCCGATTGCCGTACGGGCCCTGCCGCAACAGCGTCCACACGAGCGCAATGCACTGCAGGGTCTTGCCCAGGCCCATCTCATCGGCCAAGATGGCTCCCTGAACAGAAGGAGACCTGGGACAGACAAACAAAAAACACAGTTACGGTACAACCAAGAGAATCGGTTTTACGCTTTCTGGTAATAAAACGGGTGTTACGCTCTTGATTTGAAGCTTTCGTGACTGCAGGAATCCATACTCTTTGGTTCTTTCGGTAAAGTCACGTAGGTAGAAAAATAATAGATCACGGCATTTCGATCGCAACACAAGCAATCGTCATCAGGTGGGACAACCACAGCAAGGAAACTGCTTCACCTGTGGTTGTCCCAGTTTCCTTGCTGTGGTTGTCCCCCACCTGATGACGATTGCTTGTGTTGCGATCGAAACGTCGTGATCTATTATTTTTTTACCTATGTGACTTTACCGAAAGAACCAAAGAGTATAGGTGTTAGGATGTTCAAACACCAAATATAAACTTTTTACAAGGGATCAAGTATGCATTGACACTGGTGAGACTAGGCCATGAAGAAGGCTGTCTCTGGTGTAGGCCAATCAGTCTCAAAGACAATGCATATATTATCAGAGTATGTTTGTATATTCACCACAAGTACGCGTGGTTAATGTAGACTTGATTCCTTGAAAAAGGTATGTATTTTGTGTTTGAACATCATAACACCTGTTTTATTGCCAGAAAGGGTAAAATCTATTCTTATTTTGATACTGCCAAAAAGTCCCATGATATGGTACAACTAATTGTGCATTGACCGGTGGAATCGCACCACGCCATTTAGCTTTTGCCGAAGCCATACATTTTATACTTAGTTTCGATCTGACGTTAAAGACGTTTCAACTCTTCACCTCAGCCATAGAATAAATAAGTGTCACCTTGTAAAAAAACCTACAAATGTTGATCATTATCACTTACCATGGATAATTAGCACCAATGCATATTTCTTCCGATGTACTCCTTTGCTGATTTTGAGAGGCTTTGACGTGGCTTAATTCATGGGCAAACGAGGAGGTCTTCACTAGGAGGATTGTTTCATTTTGCAAGAAGTTGTTGGGCAAAGCAGTGGTCGAGAATCTTCAGCTTACACTGGAGCCACTTAATTATTACTGCAGGTGAACAACTAAACTACAAACGCAAGACGTACTTTATTTTCAATACCGAGTCATTAGGTTAGAGACTGATTCTAATGAGCGAAACAAAAGAAGTCTATCTAGTAAAAGCATATCTACCAATATGTTCGTGCCAATACCTTGGTGGAAGATGGTCAAGTCTTTACTCAAGTGAACCCATTTGTATTACCTTAGAACATAGTTCTTAGTTCACAATACGGCTGATTCCATGGACTATTTCACTCGTGCTCATTAACAAGTGCATGCGGTGGCTGTTCACTGGATAATACAATTCATGGGAATCTTCAGGTCACACTACATTACTAATTCTGAATTACAACTAAATTACAGAGGCAAGTACAATCCCCCGTCTAGGAGCACGCCATCAGCATCCAATGATCTGAGTCAGATCTGAAAGAACACTACCGATCATTGCAATAATGTGGACACAGTGAATAAACACCTCACTCCAGACCAAAACATCACACCTCCCTGGTTCTGACATTCCTCGGAAGACAGCGGTGTAACCATCAACCGCATCAGAACATCAACAGTCCGATGCGGACATTCTTTCTCAGATGGAAAATTTAAAGACAAGCCACAGTGTGATTGTGGCCATACAACCTAAACAATAGACCACATAGTAAACCACTGTAGTTTGCGCTCCTTCAACCGATGAATAGCAAAACTACGCAAACTCTCTCTCCCAAAGCCTTCTCTTTACTAACAGACATCGACATTGCCATTCAGCTCCTGAACCTATTTCCACATGCAAGAATAGGGAAATAGAACAAAGGCTAAACCCCGCTATATTTACAAAAACAAATAGACAATTTAGGCAAGATATGTTATTCCATTTAGTCCAAACATAAACTAAACACACTAGTATGAGCATCCATACTAAGATAATATAGTGAACAGAATACACCTTATATAAAAGAGAAAGTAATTAATGGCGTTGTTCTGGAGAATATGACAAAATTAATTTTTAAATATGCCTCCTTCACCGTATCTGTCTCTCCATGCCAAAAAAGTTGATTTACTATGACCCATATATATCTAACAGAGAGGGTCCTTAGTAATAAACATCTGGTAGTTCACTAGCATTGGTTTAAGCAAGCCTGACTGCTGATGAGATGCTGAATGTCAAAATTGGTCAATGTTGCTGAAAAAATGTTACTTCCCTTTTTCATGTTGAAAGTCAGATATGAGAAGGCGGTGTATTGTCTGAGATGCACTGCAGCACCACAATGCACTCCTCAAGATTTGACAATGCCACCAACAGAAGCGGTGGCCTGTGCAGAATATTGGGGGGAAAAACTATACAGGTTGGACAGGAGAAACGAAGAAGTCTGTATTTATTTTGTTACTTATATGTAACTCTTCCCCAGCTTCTGCAAGAGTGAGTTCTATATATATTTACAGTGAAAAGTTGTTAGTAGAAAGATAATTCCTGTTTTCTAAGTGAAATGCTCATATATAGTGAATGAATGGTGTCTATGTGGCGTCTGAGATTTAGCACCACTGCATTATTTGACGTATGAAAATGTGTTAAAAAAATAAACACGACTATTCTGCCTGACCTAAACATCCGTTGCACACTGCCTGTTTCTTTTTAGCTGACTAATCACTATAACTTATGGCAACTGTCAGGACATAACTTTCCTCGAAAAAATATCTGTTAAATAAGAAATAAGGTGCTGTATGATGTCTTGTTGCAAATTCTTGAAAAGTCACTTACCTGCTAAATGAGGTCACTACGTAGGTTATTTATCGCTTCAATGTTTTCCCATGCCATTGGGGTGCACATCTAAGTAACCATTTCTACGATATTTATGTTTTAAGAACCAGGCTACAGTCTACATTATAGACTGCCAGTACACTCACCAAACTTAATAGCGGGTTTTTTTTCACTTTATTTATTATTATTTTTCTATCTACGTGACTTTACCGAAAGAACCAAATAATACCGCATTCTATTATTATATTCTTGGTTCTTTCGGTAAAATCACGTAGAAAACAAAACAAAAAACGTAAATAAAAAGAACACGTTGAAAATAATAGAAGCAAAAAACCAACATAAAAATTAAAATATAATTAAAATATGTTTTTTTGCTTTTATTATTTTCAATTTATTATCTATGTGACTTTACCAAAAGAACCAATAATATGAATTCCTGCAGTCACAACAGTTAAGTAAAAATATATGATTATTTTGATTTTAAAAGCACTTTAATAAATACAATAATTAGAAAGAATACCAGTAAAAATTTGTAAACACAATTGTTAATAAGCATAACAGTAAGTGGTATTCACCCCAACCAGTTATAGCAAGTAAAAATAGCAAGCACCGTATTCACATGTACGAGCAAAGTAAGCATTATTACGTTTCAATGTTTGAATGCGTACTTAAATTATGCATCGTACACCGTGTGTGTGTGTGAACAAACGTAGCCCTAAGACACGTTATGTGGCGACACAATGCGAAGGCTGTCGTCCCTCTAAAGTGCCCTCACCTCATGCCCATGACGGCCTCGTAAAGAAAAACGACCCCTTCTCGCTGGTGTGGCCTGAGGTGCACGACGAGGTGGGGGTCGACCACAACGTCTCCCATGGGCAGGCCGGCCGCATTGTTCTGCCACTGATGGGCAGGGCTTGGCTGGGGCATCACAAGTGCATCTGAGGACCCAAAGCAAAAAAACGCTTCCTTTAATAGGTGGACAAGGGCCTGTCTCACCGCATAAAATATAGATAGTAATTCAGTTCATCAGCCCACGGGCTCACCTCGACCAATGTTTTTTTCAGCTGCATTTGTTTTAACGGATAAATGCTGAACCAGCGTTAACTTTCTTGAGTCTCATCAGCTGAGTCGTGTCAAAGGTAGCCTGACAATATAGACAAGATAAACTCTACGAAAACCATGGGTACCAATACAGTGAAAAATTGTTTATCTCCACAAACCTCATGATGTGTTTTCGTGGTTAATTATAAGTAATAGATGTAAAAATACACAAGGATTTATCTCACCACATCACATAAAACAACATTTCAGTTCCACAGCCTTTGAACCAATCATTTCCATCGGCGTTTTTTAAAACAGATAAAAAGATATTCATTGCTCATGAAAACGAGTTAATGTTTTCCATGTATTATATTTTTTTAACTTAATTTGGGTATGACTGAATGTGTCACTTTTCCAGTTGCTGATGAAGTCACCCTCCTTCCCCCTGGTCTCCGCAGACCACAAAGGCAAAGAGCGAATTAGGAGTGGGAACCTAACATCCTAATTATTGAGTGGGAATGTAAATCCTATTTCGTGGTTTATCTTTGTGGTCTACGGGAGGGCGACTTAAGAAACAACTGGTGATGAAGTCACACGCGCACTATTAACTCATATGAAGTAAAACAAATTTTGCATCAAAGCTGTGGAAACCTTTAATCTATAATGTCCACTTACGTTAAACGCCCGTGTATGTGTATGGTCTAGTAGAGATCGTGGTGACCATACTGACCATACTTCAGCATTCTGGTTAGTGGAGATTGGTGAATGTGGAGGGTATGGATGCGGAAGCATGGAAGTACAGCATAACAATGGATTTTGTTACATTGTTTTCTCTTGCCCAACCACGACCCATCCCAGCACTATCCAAGTGCATCCCTGATTAGATTTTGAGATCTACAGAGATTGCGTGCATTCCAGGTGATTTTGTCATAAGCTAATGGGTTCTTAACTAAACCGAAAGGCACTTTAGATATCTAACCAGTGTGTTGTGTATCAAACATCTTTACCAATTGTTGTCCCTTTCAGCAAGGCTACTTCACGAGAGAAACAATTATTAACTATTTATTTTGCCAGTTGTCAGTAAAGGTAGGTGAAATGTGAATGATGGCCAATAGTTATTTGTACATAATTTTGCTACATTAAAATCAAAGCACACATTTTCAATATTCCAGCAGTGCCCATCACCAATTTTCAGACTAACGCTCAAACAATCATCGATTAGAATGTGAGCACACGCATAAGGTCTTACTTGGAGCAAAGGGGTCAAAGCGAGGCTTGTAGACTTTTGTCTCGGTGACGCGGAACTTCTCTGGTGCTCCTGTGACGGCCCGGAAGGGGTTCGCATAGGGCCTAGCAGCCTTGTTAGGAGTGGCGCTAGAAGCGGCCGAGTCGCAGCTGGCGCCGGAGACCTGGAAGCACCTTCCGTTTGAGTAATCTTCACACGAAATCAACCCCATCACCTCGATCTCCTTTCCGCTGATCACCAAAGTGTGTCCCTCCGACAGGCTCTCCAGCTCACGCTTGTTGTAGCCTGTACCTGTGCACACATGTTACTGTGTGTGTGTGTACAGTATATGCACCTGTGTACAGAGTACATTTTTCAGTCCACTGCGAGATGAGGGCCTCCACACATTGTATGGGTCGTGGAGATTGTTAGGCCAGAATTCACAACGCTAGTCAATAGGGGTTGATAAAGGTGGATAGCATGGAAGTGCAACACAATAATGGCTCTTGCTACACTGCCCACCACATATCCCCACAGCCTATAATATTACCACGCTGGTCAGTGCAGGTTGGCGAGGGGGGGGGGGGGCAAGACTTGTTGAGATATCACTCCACCCTGATATCAGCCATGGTTGGGAATCAATAACAGCGAATAGGGTTCATAGTGTAGTGCGATATCTACTCTACCACCGCATATAATATGCATCATTTTTAATATCAGACTTAAAAATCCACAAATGATCCAAAATCAATTTTCATCATTACATCATTGAATCATTTTAACCATTGAATAATTATATGCCTACAAATTATAGAAATGTTCGTTATTGTAGCGATAAGACTAAATCTTAGATTGCCAAATATAGGGTGTTTCAAAAAGGATGGACCCGATTTTAAATCACTATATCTTTGAAATTGGGTCCATCATTTTTAAACACCCTGTATAATTACAGCATATCAATACCTTTGCAGATGTCCTTGCCTTCCATATCTTTAAGGTTCACCACTCGGCCACTTGTGATCAGAACAGCATCGCCCTCCCACTTCTTGTGCTTCTTCTTGGATGCTTTACCCCACATTACACTGTAGTACTTTGTAACAGAACAATCCCCGTTATCTTTAATTGGATTGTTCTCTGCAGTGTGGTGATTTTGTTCGTCGGAACGCTGCACTTTCATTGCAGCAGGTGATTTTGGGGTAAGAGATTTATAGATGTGTTTTCTTGGCACCAAGAAGGTCCTTGCTGCCTCGGGCCTTCTGATAAGATCTGCTTCTACATCTGCAAAAAACAGACACATCAGTGGAAAAACAAATTGCACTAAAGGATTTTTTTAGGTTGGACATTACAGGAATGATTTAGCAGGTGGTGTTGCGGTTACAGCATGCAGCTTGCAATTTGGAAAGTTGTAAGTTCAACTTCCCATCATACCTCTGTGGTTAATAAGATGAGTAACGCTTTAGGTAAGCACTGCCCCATGCTCGTTTGAGACAGTAACAATAGTGATATTTCTGAATACAGCAACGTTACACAAGGCCTTGATGAAGGGAACATACTCTAGAGTACGCCCACCGCAGAAATGGAGTGATGAAATCAGATCGTGTGCAGGGGGCTAAATGAATTGTTGCATCGGAAAACCCCGAGAGATGGCAATGGTTTGGAGAAGCCTTCATCCAAGAGCGGATACCTTGCGGCTGATGATGCCTCAATCTTACATACAATCTCCTAGAGTTCTAAACTAACAAAACTTTTTTTTTTATTTTACCAGGTAAGGCCCACTGAGCTATATAGCTCTTTTTTAGAAGTGACCTGGCCACAAATAATAGCCCAACGAAGTGGCTTATCACATGGAAATTTATATTAGCCAAATACTCGAAGTGCATGTTTCACTAATGTGCAGGGAAAAACCAGACGACCTGCAGAGAAAGCCACACGACCACAGGGAGAACATGCAAACTTAAAATATACAGACATCAGGGTCGGGATAGAACCCACGACCTCCTGCATAGTGTACCTACCTCCTTGCCGGTTGGAGAGCAATATTTTGTCTGATAAATTAGGTGGGTCGGGTGTGGTGGTTGCCTGGATGTTGGGAGGTTCTGGGCTCTTCACAACTATATCTGCAGTCCCTTGAGGCATCTTGGGACACATGTCCAGCCACTTGGGCTGTAAATGTTGAATAAAAAGGAGTCAGAAACCACGTGGGCAGACCAATACAATCTATGGTGTCAATGTGTAACATTTTACTTAATCAATAAAAAGTAGACCTATACATGAAAGCACCCACTATGCCAGTGGTTCTTAAAGTTATTGGAGGTACTGAACCCTGCAAGCTTCATCAGTGCATTCACCGAAACCTTCGTAATTGGAAAAATAAAATGATTTATTCAAAACATAGGTATATATTTTATTAGTGCACAAAATTAACCATGCATCAGTTGCACACAAAATCACTGTGTTCAAAGAACAAAACCAACAAAACATGAATTTCACACAAAAACATAACTCAATGAATATTTACTGCAAATCAATGTGACTTTTGCTGTTGCCTTTCAGATACAAGTTCAGAAATGTGCGGCTTCACCTTGGCAAGTGCCATTCTCATATCATTTTCGCAACAAAGTCTGTTCCTTTTCTTAGTTTTTATGTCTACCATCCTCAAAAAAGATTGCTCGCAAAGATACGTTGTAACAAACGGTGTAAGGATCTCAAGGGCTTTCTTAGCAAGAGGGTATGGTACGATTTCGTGACACCAAAAACGTTGAGAGCGTTGTTGTTCTGAAGAGTTGCTGTTGAAGCTGGCTCTGCTGAAGTTCAAAGATTTCCTCGAGGTATTCATCGTTGACATCTGCCGTCGCAACACTAAATGTGAACGGCTGTCTCACCCATGCTGGATATGACTCTCTGGTGGGGAAGTATCCGTCGAGAGACTTTGCGAGCTCATCTAAGTGCATGGCAATTGCTTGCTTCAGCTCCCCAGGTACAGAAATGTCTCCAATTCCAGACACGTCTTCGATCTTACTTACACAGTCGTCCAGCAGGGGAAAGTTTGCGAAGTTATCATTCTCTGTTCGTCGTTTCCATAAAGGTAGCTTTTTTTAAACACCTTCAGGTTTTCTTCCGCTTCGATGATGTTGACTCCACCACCCTGCATCTGTCGATTGAGATGATTGAGAGCATCGAAAATATCGGCCATGTACGCCAAAATGAGAATGAACTCAGAATTTTTTAAGCAATCTGCAGGACAATGTTGGTAGAAGTACCTCGAATTCAGAGCCCATTTCCTTACACAGCTCTTTGAAGATGCGGTGCTTCATAGCACTATTTCGCACGTAGTTCACACATTCAACTACATTTTTAATACTTCTGCCAGTTTTGGAGGCAAGGTTTTTGTTGCCAACGCATGCCTGTGCAGAACACAGTGCGTAACAATGATGTGTGGTGCATCGGATTTCACCAGCGCTCCAAAACCAGAGTGTCGTCCCAGCATGCCTGGAGCTCCATCCGAACAAACTGCAGAAACCATATTCAACGAAAGATCGTTGTCTCTGAAGAAGTCATCCACGAGTTTCTTCACATCGACTGCATTGGTTGTTGTTGTAAGAGGCATACAAAATAAAAACATCTTCCTTTATCACGTCGTCTTTCATATAGCGCACGAATACAACAAGCTGGCTTAGATTGGAAACGTCGGTGGTCTCGTCGAGTTGGAGGCTGAATTTTGCTGGGCTTGAAATCAGATCTGCAACTACTTGAGCCAAGATGTCATCGCTCATGTCGTCTATTCTGCTGCTGCTGATAGTGTCATTTAAAAGAGGAATTTGGGATAACTTATCTTCAGCAGCTTTTCCCAGCATGATATTCGCCATCTTCAACGCAGCTGGTTTTACGAGTGTTTCACCTATGGTGTGTGGTTTGCCCTGCTTTGCGATCAGGTACGCAACTTCGTACGATGCTGTGAGGATCGGTTTGTCAATGGGTACAAAGCCGAGAACAGGCAGAGTAGCCTTTTAATCGAATCTGGCTCTCTTCACCTTGAATTCAGCGAGCGTTGTGTTCTCGTATTTCCCATCTCCATGCAGCTTTAGGAAGTGTTCCTTTAGTTTTGCCGGTGCAAGACTAGAATTGCTCAACTTGGCATTGCAAATCATGCATTGAGGACGCTGACTCCCATCACGTTCCTTTATACACGCGAATGCATATTGTACGTATTCGTCCAACCACTTTCTTTTTTTGCTCGACAAAGTTAGTATGAAGGGATTGAAAGATTAAAAGAAAATCACAAATGACGTATAATCACAACAGCCACAAGTCGACTACTGAGCGCACCAAGTTCCTGATCACGCAATGTGGCGTGGCAGCTGCAGCCAATGATGGCCAAGCGGAGCGTGACGTCACGAATAATACAAGTTGACTGCATTTATTTCGTGTAACACATTTTTACTAAGCAACAAAATATCTGTAATCTAACACGGCGAAGAAAAATTGTGTGTTGCCAATTTTTTGACGGCCGACAAAAACGGCCCGACGTTGCCGGTGCGAACCGGGCCGCTACACTGTGTGTGTCTTGACCCCTGCCGAACCCCGGAGAGTGACTCAACGAACCCCTGGGGTTCGATCGAACCCAGCTTAAGAACCACTGCACTATGCACTACTAAGACTGCACAAGTACAAACCAGACATTACACATGTAGGTAACCGTATGAGGTGAAAGAGATAGGTTGTGTCTTTATACAATACAGCATATTCGTAATCATATACACTATTTCGATGTGATATCTGTTCAAATTATTATCCCGTATGAATCCACTTAATTAACTTTCTAAATAATCTGTAACACTATAGTCTTGCCACCTCAGATGGTTACCAGTGTGATCAGGCCAAAGGAAATAAACGGTGACATCACCACAGCATGTGCCAGGAATAGTGGAATGAGACCATGGCAAAAGGCTCAATGCAAATGTTACAAAAAAATTATCAGGAGGGTCCTGGCAAATGTTCACAGGAGGGGGGCGATTTTGCAATGCTCAATCCCCAATTAGCAATTTGTTGGACATTTTTCAGCACTGGTATGTTTGGCAAATACCAGTGACATTGCATGTTTTTATAGCTACGGGAGGAAACCAGACAATCTGGAGGAAACCTATATAGAACAGGGGGATAACATGCAAACTCCACACAGAAAGGCACCCAAGTCAGTAACCGAACCCAGGCTTTTCTTGCTCCGAGGCACAAGTGTCGTCACCATCGTGCCATCCTGCTGCCCCAAATAAATTACCACACTAAAGTAATTGTACTTAAACGACATCGGTTCTATGATAGTGTTCTGTTTGAGAATAGGTTTTCCCCTTTTTTCTGGCAACAAGACAGGTGGTAAGGTGTTATAACACCAAACTGAAACCTTTTACAAGGAATCATGTCTGCATTAACCACAATACTTGTGGTCAGAATGCAAACAAAAAACACTGATAATATATGCATTGTCTTTGAAACTGATTGGTCCACACCAGAGACAGCTTTCTTTGGAGCCTAGACTTTTAGCGTCCTCTGGTCTAACACCTTTTGAGACTAGGCTCCAAAGAAAGCTGTCTCTGGTGTGGACCAATCAGTTTCAAAGACAATGCATATATTATCAGAGTATGTTTTTTGTTTGCATTCTGACCACAAGTATTGTGGTTAATGCAGACATGATTCCTTGTAAAAGGTTTCAATTTGGTGCTTTAACATCTTAACACAACTGTTTTGTTGTCAGAAAAAAGGGGAAAACCTATTCTCATATATTGGTACTTGGCAAAGGAGGTCCCAAAGTGTTCCGTTTGCCTGATGTATGCACATACAGGAATTTCCTCAGCATTACTTACACCTGTGATATGTGTGTGAATTGTATCTGTTCAGTCCTTTTGTCAGTTCACTGCTGGTTGAGGGCCTCCTCACACTGAGCAGGTCATAATGGTTATTTGACCGTACGACACCACGCTGCTCAGCGAGGGTTGACGGCAGGGCGTATGAATGAAGGAGAGCATATAATTGATTTGCTTGCACTACTTCTGCTGCTCATTGCTTAGCCCCACAGATTATAGCAACGTGTTCAATTCCACCTACATAGTCCACATGACTCAATGTTGGCAGACCAGTTTGAATGATTCCAGATAATGTTCATCAAACACTTGCATTTTCTGCAGTTGTAGACAGATTGTTTTCTTCATGCTGCTTCAATATATGCTACATGGAAAATAACGTCTATATATAGAGCCCCAAAGATGACTCTTTCCATCCTCTCCTACCTTTACACCCAGACATTGTGCGCAGCTCCTGGTGGGGAATTTTACTCGTGGAAAAAGTGACACGTGGCATTTGGTTAACCACCCATTTCCTGAGCCGAGATTGTATGTTTTCTTCTTTATCCCAGGCGAGCAATATTCACGCACAGAAAATGTAATCTCTCACCTTTTCTGTTTCTCTACGGAAATTTCCTCAACTCAAAATGCCATGACTGGACAACAAACATAACTACTTAAAAAAAGACGTGTATTTACCTACAGCAGTGGCACACAATTGACATTTGATGACACTGCTCACACACACACACCTCGTTAATAGGGCTGTCGACAGGTGACCAGAAAATAAAATGAATAAATTATTAAAATAATTAATGACCTTGCTGGCTCACTTGCACCACAGGCTTGGATGCGCTTTGCCCTCATAATGGCTCATCAGTGAGCCATGCCCAGCTACAGCCTATGATCACCCAGGACATTGTTCCGTGTAGGCAAGGAGACCCACCATTTTCATTTTTATTGTTATTATTTTCTATCTATGTGACTCTACCGAAAGACCCAAAGAATATAAGACGTAGTAGTGCATTTAGAGTATGTGGCTGCTATACATTTCCACGTGATTAGCCACTTCGTTGCGCTATCGTTTGTGATAGCCAGATAGCTTCTGAAAACGAGCTACATAGTTCAGTGGGCATTTGCTGGTAAAATAAAACAAAATAATTGGGTGTTTTTAAAAATAATTTACATCGGGACACTAAAATATATATACAGCTGCTAAAAGCAGTGAAAAACGTTTTGGACAGCAGAGGGCATTGCAGCAAATTCAATAGTTTTTTACAATTCTGCTCCCACTTCTACGCTCTCCGTCTCCACCAACCCTCAACTGACTACCAGCGTGGTGAATGAAGTATGATCAAACAACCCACAAGCTATGGGGGACGCCTTCATCCAGCAGTGGAGTGACAAAGAATTGTATACGTACATCGTGTACGTGTTTCGCCAGGGTAAGTGTCGCTGAGATCAGAGCATTCGACTCAAAATCGGATTGTCGCCGGTTCAATATACTGTATACCCCCTCCACTCCGAGGGAAACAGTGTTCGTTCTTTGGGGAGACTGATCTCCGGCATGGGAATGTGGAATTTCCACCAATGTCCCTCCCCAGGATGATGAGCGCCACCCCCCACGCTTTTTTTCTCTCTCTCTCTCGCATAAACACCCAACCACATGCTGTTACTATACACACACACAACTTAACATAACATGAACGCACTTAACATAATAATACTAGGCGGCAAAAAACAATAACATGACTCGCACAAGCCACGCCTCAGGTCTCACGCAGTCTCTCGCGCCGCGTCACTAACAATTCCCACGGATCTCACTGCCGTGAAAATCGTAACTTGTTGACACAAAACGAACATTTCCCAAAGACGCCACACCTGGGCGGTCTCACGCCGCTATACGACAGTCATCATCACTCTCACGTTCCCACCACCGACCAAGCTGTTCCCTCTCACGCCTCCCCCTGTTTGCACAGTCGCATAGTCGTCACTTTAAGACGGGGTTTTTTTTCTTCCTCTTGTTCGTGTTTTTGTTTGTTTGTTGTGGCCGCACCCGATTCAAGAGCCGAATGGCTCGCAGGGCTATACCAAAATAAAGAAACTGAAACAGTGTTGGGGGTTCGGGCACCTGAGGGGCAGCAGGGGCAGCGGCGGCAGGGCGATGAGCAGCAGCAGGAGGCGGCATGAAGCGAGCCCTCTTGACGCTCGGAGCAGCGGAGCGCCGCATGGCTCCACGACCGCCAACTACCAGACCCTCGCCCCTAGACGACGATATCGAACGACGAATATCCACGATTTTACCTCACGATAACGATCTCGAGTTTATTATTGCGGGAAACCACGCAAATCATTAGCAGATTAAATCGTATTATTTAACGCACGACTCTCATGTATACGTATCGTAAAAATTGGTTGCGATGATAAATGAAGCGATTCATCGTTATCCCCTCCTCTCACTCCCCCCTCCACTCTCTCCCCCCACCTCACTCTCTCCCCCCCCACCTCACACTCTCTCCCCCCCACCTCACACTCTCTCCCCCCCCACCTCACACTCTCTCCCCCCCACCTCACACCCTCTCCCCCCACCTCACTCTCTCCCCCACCTCACACTCTCTCCCCCCACCTCACACTCTCTCCCCCCACCTCACAGTCTCTCCCTCCACCTCACACTCTCCCCCCCCCCACCTGACTCTCCCCCCCCACCTCACACTCTCTCCCCCTCACCGCACACTCTCTCCCCCCCCCACCTCACCTCTCTCTCCCCCCACCTCACACTCTCCTCCCCCCACCTCACACTCTCTCCCCCCACCTCACACTCTCTCCCCCCACCTCACACTCTCTCCCCCCACCTCACACTCTCTCTCCCCCCACCTCACACTCTCTCCCCCCCCACCTCACACTCTCTCCCCCCCCCACCTCACACTCTCTCCCCCCCACCTCACACTCTCTCCCCACCACCTCACTCTCCCCCACCTCACACTCTCTCACCCCCACCTCACACTCCCCCCACTCTCTCCCCCCTCCCCCTCCCTCCCCCCACTCTCCCCCCCTCCCCCTCACACTCCTCTCTCCCCCCCCCCACCTCTCCCCACCCACCTCCCCCCCCCTCTCTCTCTCTCCCTCCCCCCCTCCACTCCCTCCCCCCCCCCTCACACTCTCCCCCCCTCCCCTCTCCCCCCCCCCCACCTCTCCCCCCCCCCACTCCTCTCCCCCCCACCTCTCCCCTCCTCTCCTCCCCCCTCCCCCTCCCCTCCCCCCCCCTCCCCCTCCCACCTCCTCTCTCCCCCCCCCCCTCTCCCTCTCCCCCCACCTCCACTCTCCCCCCCCCCCTCACACTCCTCCCCCCCCCCACTCTCTCCCCCTCCCCCCACCTCACACCTCTCCCCCCCTCCACTCTCTCCCCCCCCCTCACACTCTCTCCCCCCCCACCTCACACTCTCTCCCCCCCCTCACTCTCCTCCCCCCCTCACACTCTCTCCCCCCACCTCACACTCTCTCCCCCCACCTCACAGTCTCTCCCTCCACCTCACACTCTCTCCCCCCCCCACCTGACTCTCCCCCCCCACCTCACACTCTCTCCCCCTCACCGCACACTCTCTCCCCCCCCACCTCACATCTCTCTCCCCCCACCTCACACTCTCTCCCCCCACCTCACACTCTCTCCCCCCACCTCACACTCTCTCCCCCCACCTCACACTCTCTCCCCCCACCTCACACTCTCTCTCCCCCCACCTCACACTCTCTCCCCCCCCACCTCACACTCTCTCCCCCCCCACCTCACACTCTCTCCCCCCCACCTCACACTCTCTCCCCCCCACCTCACACTCTCTCCCCCCACCTCACACTCTCTCCCCCCCACCTCACACTCTCTCTCCCCCCCACCTCACACTCTCTCCCCCCCCACCTCACACTCTCTCCCCCCCACCTCACACTCTCTCCCCCCCACCTCACACTCTCTCCCCCCACCTCACACTCTCTCCCCCCACCTCACTCTCTCCCCCCACCTCACACTCTCTCCCCCCCACCTCACACTCTCCCCCCCCACCTCACACTCTCTCCCCCCCACCTCACACTCTCTCCCCCCCACCTCACACTCTCTCCCCCCACCTCACACTCTCCCCCCACCTCACACTCTCTCCCCCCCCACCTCACACTCTCTCCCCCCCCACCTCACACTCTCTCCCCCCCACCTCACACTCTCTCCCCCCCACCTCACACTCTCTCCCCCCACCTCACACTCTCTCCCCCCACCTCACTCTCTCCCCCCACCTCACACTCTCTCCCCCCCACCTCACACTCTCCCCCCCCACCTCACACTCTCTCCCCCCCACCTCACACTCTCTCCCCCCCACCTCACACTCTCTCCCCCCCACCTCACACTCTCCCCCCACCTCACACTCTCTCCCCTCCACCTCACACTCTCTCCCCCACCTCACACTCTCTCCCCCCCACCTCACACTCTCTCCCCCCCACCTCACACTCTCTCCCCCCCACCGCACACTCTCTCCCCCCCACCTCACTCTCTCTCCCCCCACCTCACACTCTCTCCCCCCACCTCACACTCTCTCCCCCCACCTCACACTCTCTCCCCCCACCTCACTCTCTCTCCCCCCACCTCACACTCTCTCCCCCCCACCGCACACTCTCTCCCCCCACCTCACACTCTCTCCCCCCACCTCACACTCTCTCCCCCCACCTCACACTCTCTCCCCCCACCTCACACTCTCTCCCCCCCACCTCACACTCTCTCCCTCCCCACCTCACTCTCTCTCCCCCCCACCTCACACTCTCTCCCCCCACCTCACTCTCTCTCCCCCCACCGCACACTCTCTCCCCCCACCTCACACTCTCCCCCCCCACCTCACTCTCTCCCCCACCTCACACTCTCTCCCCCCCACCTCACACTCTCCCCCCCACCTCACACTCTCCCCCCCACCTCACACTCTCTCCCCCCCACCTCACACTCTCCCCCCCACCACACACTCTCTCCCCCCCCACCTCACACTCTCTCCCCCCCCACCTCACACTCTCCCCCCACCTCACTCTCTCCCCCCCACCTCACACTCTCTCCCCCCCCACCTCACTCTCTCTCCCCCCACCTCACTCTCTCTCCCCCCCACCGCACACTCTCCCCCCTCACCTCACACTCTCTCCCCCCCACCTCACACTCTCCCCCCCCACCTCACTCTCTCCCCCACCTCACACTCTCTCCCCCCCACCTCACACTCTCCCCCCCACCTCACACTCTCTCCCTCCCACCTCACACTCTCCCCCCCACCACACACTCTCTCCCCCCCCACCTCACACTCTCTCCCCCCCCACCTCACACTCTCTCCCCCCCCCACCTCACACTCTCCCCCACCTCACTCTCTCCCCCCCACCTCACACTCTACCCCCACCTCACACTCTGTCCCCCCACCTCACACTCTCTCCCCCCCACCTCACACTCTCTCCCCCCACCTCACACTCTCTCCCCCCACCTCACACTCTCTCCCCCCACCTCACACTCTCTCCCCCCCACCTTACACTCTCCCCCCCCACCTCACACTCTCTCCCCCCCACCTCACACTCTCTCCCCCCCACCTCACACTCTCTCCCCCCACCTCACACTCTCTCCCCCCACCTCACACTCTCCCCCCACCTCACACTCTCTCCCCTCCACCTCACACTCTCTCCCCCCCACCTCACACTCTCTCCCCCCCACCGCACACTCTCTCCCCCCCCACCTCACTCTCTCTCCCCCCACCTCACACTCTCTCCCCCCACCTCACACTCTCTCCCCCCACCTCACACTCTCTCCCCCCCCACCGCACACTCTCTCCCCCCACCTCACACTCTCTCCCCCCACCTCACACTCTCTCCCCCCACCTCACACTCTCTCCCCCCCCCACCTCACTCTCTCTCCCCCCACCTCACACTCTCTCCCCCCACCTCACTCTCTCTCCCCCCCACCGCACACTCTCTCCCCCCACCTCACACTCTCTCCCCCCCACCTCACACTCTCCCCCCCCACCTCACTCTCTCCCCCACCTCACACTCTCTCCCCCCCACCTCACACTCTCCCCCCCACCTCACACTCTCTCCCCCCCACCTCACACTCTCCCCCCCCCACCTCACACTCTCTCCCCCCCCCACCTCACACTCTCCCCCCACCTCACTCTCTCCCCCCCACCTCACACTCTCTCCCCCCCCACCTCACTCTCTCTCTCCCCACCTCACACTCTCTCCCCCCCACCGCACACTCTCCCCCCCCACCTCACACTCTCTCCCCCCCACCTCACACTCTCCCCCCCCCACCTCACTCTCTCCCCCACCTCACACTCTCTCCCCCCCACCTCACACTCTCCCCCCCACCTCACACTCTCTCCCCCCCACCTCACACTCTCCCCCCCACCTCACCCTCTCCCCCCCACCACACACTCTCTCCCCCCCCACCTCACACTCTCTCCCCCCCCCACCTCACACTCTCCCCCCCCACCTCACACTCTCCCCCCACCTCACTCTCTCCCCCCCACCTCACACTCTCCCCCCACCTCACACTGTCCCCCCACCTCACACTCTCCCCCCCACCTCACACTCTCCCCCCCACCTCACACTCTCCCCCCACCTCACACTCTCTCCCCCCACCTCACACTCTCTCCCCCCACCTCACACTCTCTCCCCCCCACCTTACACTCTCTCCCCCCACCTCACACTCTCTCCCCCCCACCTCACACTCTCTCCCCCCCACCTCACACTCCCCCCCCCACCTCACACTCTCTCCCCCCACCTCACACTCTCTCCCCCCCACCTCACACTCTCCCCCCCACCTCACACTCTCCCCCCCACCTCACACACCCCCCCCCCCACTCTCTCCCCCCACCACACTCTCTCCCCCCCACCACACACTCTCTCCCCCCACCACACTCTCTCCCCCCCACCTCACACTCTGTCCCCCCACCTCACACTCTCTCCCCCCCACCTCACACTCTGTCCCCCCACCTCACACTCTCTCCCCCCCACCTCACACTCTCTCCCCCCACCTCACACTCTCTCCCCCCACCTCACACTCTCTCCCCCCACCTTACACTCTCTCCCCCCACCTCACACTCTCTCCCCCCCACCTCACACTCTCTCCCCCCCACCTCACACTCCCCCCCCACCTCACACTCTCTCCCCCCACCTCACACTCTCTCCCCCCCACCTCACACTCTCCCCCCCACCTCACACTCCCCCCCCCCCACTCTCTCCCCCCACCACACTCTCTCCCCCCCACCACACACTCTCTCCCCCCCACCTCACACTCTCTCCCCCCCACCTCACACTCTCTCCCCCCCACCTCACACTCTCCCCCCCCACCTCACACTCTCTCCCCCCCACCTCTCACTCTCTCCCCCCACCTCACACTCTCCCCCCCCACCTCTCACTCTCTCCCCCCCACCTCACACTCTCTCCCCCCACCTCACACTCTCCCCCCCCACCTCACACTCTCTCCCCCCCACCTCACACTCTCTCCCCCCACCTCACACTCTCTCCCCCCACCAGACACTCTCCCCCCCACCTCACACTCTCTCCCCCCCACCTCACACTCACTCCCCCCACCTCACACTCTCTCCCCCCCCCCACCTCACACTCTCTCCCCCCCACCTCTCACTCTCTCCCAGTCTTCTTCATGAACCCCCTGGCGAAGTCCGTAACGACCCCCCCACTGCCCCTTGTTACCAGCCACTCTCGCGCCGCCTCACCCCCCCTGCCCGCACACTTTATTAACACCGGGGTCTCGCGACCGCGGCTCGCGCGTTTCCCGCCTTCCCGTGCTGCCTCGCGCGCCGGTTTGGGAAGGGGTGAGGAGGGGGAGGGTGGTAGGCGGGGGAGGGGCGAGTCAAGTGGGGGGGGGGCTTCGCGACATCACCACCGGCGCTAACCGTGTGCGCATGCGCGAGTTTCGCAGAAGAAGGGAGGGGGGGACGAATGGGGGTAAGCAGAGGAAGGGGCGGAGTCATGGGGGGGGGGAAGAGGCGGGGCAGGTTTGGGGGGGGGCTTCGCGACATCACCACCGGCGGTAACCGTGTGCGCATGCGCGAGTTTCGCTGAAGAAGGGAGGGGGGGGCGAATGGGGGGTAAGCAAAGGAAGGGGCGGAGTCATGGGGGGGGAAGAGGCGGGGCAGGTTGGGGGGGGGCTTCGCGACATCACCACCGGCGCTAACCGTGTGCGCATGCGCGAGTTTCGCTGAAGAAGGGAGGGGGGGCGAATGGGGGGTAAGCAGAGGAAGGGGCGGAGTCATGGGGGGGGGAAGAGGCGGGGCAGGTTGGGGGGGGGATCCTGCGTCTTAGCCGCGTATGAGAGGGGGGGGTAGAATGGCGCATGCGCAGTGGAGCGCTGTGACGTCACTGGGGGGGAAGATGGAGGCGGTGGTGTCGGGGCGGCGGGAGTAGGAGTTTAGCCGGGGCGGCCTCGCTCCCTCTCTGCCTCTCTCATGGCCGGCGCGTCAAGCCACGTCGTGAGTTTGCGCGCGGTGTCGGGCGGCAACGGAGGGAAGCGGACGGCGGTGCGGGGCCGCTGAGCGCCGCTGTTTGTGTGCGTGCGTGCGTGTTGTGCCTCGAGGCGCCTTGAGCCGCGGCGCGGAGCCCGGGCCCAACGGGAAGCGCGAGAGACCGGGGAGCGGGGGAGGGGAGCGGGATGGAGGATGGGTCGTGGGGGTGCCGTGGGGGTGCCGTGGGGGTAAAGAGGGTACCGAGGGAGATTAGAGCTGCGGGGGGTGATAGGAGGGAGCGTGGGGAGATCACCCGGAGGGAAGGCGCGATGGTGGGGGGAAAGGCGCCGGGTAATGAAGAGGGGAGCAAGGGAGAATGGAGGAGCGAGGAGGAACGGGCGATTCGTGGATCTCGGGGATACCTGGAGAGAGCCAGGAGGGAGGGGTGGCATCAGTATGGAGCATGGGGGATCGAGCGGACAAGGGAATGAGAACGGTGAAAGGGGGGGAAAGGGGTGAGGTGGATCTGCGTGAGCAAAGAGGATCTGAGAATATTACGAAAGGTGGGTGGGAGGGTTTGGAGATCTGGGAGGTGAAATTGAACTTTGGCAGAGCAGAGTAGTGTAGGCTCGTGAGGGAAGGATGGGTCTGCTAAATCCTAGCAGAATATCAACAAGTCAACGGGGCTCACGGAGAAGGACCGGAGAATATTGCGGGGGGGGGGGTGGGGGAGCAACGAAAAACAGGAATCTGAGAGTTTCAGGAAATCAACAAGGGTCAGGAGGGAGCATCAGGGGGGGTATGTGGAGAACGGAGTATGGCGATCAGTGGTATGAGGAGCAATGATGGGTGGGGGGGTCAATTAGAACTAGGAGGGATGATGCAGAAGACGAGGCTATCTTGGAGATGGGGCCGCGCAATGTGAGCGAAGATTGCCCTGGAGAGAGGGGATTAGCCTGGTTAGGGGAACCAGGAGGACCGGGAAACCGGTGGGGTGGGTTATTAGCAGGAGCTCTCAAAACGGATGCTGCAGCCTCGGGGGGCTTCAGGAGAAACAGTGCTTTTCATTTGGATTAGGAATCAAGAGGGAGTTTGGGTTCGGTTACGAACTTGGAATATGGTGATTCAGTGGTAACACGAGGGCAAGTGTCGTATCACGGGGCCACCTTGGCTGTTCCCAGTAATCCCACGCCCCTCCTCGCTCGCTCGCTACTGTTTATATAACTCGGCCCGCAGTGAGGGGACTTTGTGGAACCGACACCACCGCATCTGCACACCACCAGTTTGCCTTCCTCCTCGCCCCCCCCCCCAACACGTAGGACGGCTACGTATGCGGGGGGGTCCCCGTGTCTCCGGGATAAGGGGGTGGAGGCTGGCGCCGTGATACCCCCACCCGGCTCGTTACGTTGCCTGCAGAGGTGTTGCGAGAGAACGCGCAGGCGTTGTTTACTTGAGAGCCCCGAGTATTGTGCGTCCTTGGGGTTCACCCTTGCAACGACTTGTTTTAAATCCCTTCGTGTAACAAAAAAAAACAAATTTTGATACACGAGGTCAGGGTTTTTAGCCCGTGGGAGTTTTACACGGCTCAGCGGTCGCGGAATCGCAAGAAACGCGGGTTGTGAACCGCGTGTTTAATTCGAATAGCTGAGCTAATTAAAGGCACCGTGGCATTAATTACATTCAGTTGAATTTCAAAGCGATGGGTGGAGCGCGTATGTTTGAAGCGCCGTCTGTCGTGCGTGTGAATACCCGAGGCTCTGCACTGTTGTGTAGACCTCGCTCAACACGAGCGAAGAAGCGTCCACGTATAAGAGAATAAAGGCTGAGGCTTCCCGACACAGCAGGGAGTGGCCCATTGACGAGCGCCTTACAAGAATGTAATCTACTAAATTGGGCTCTTAGGAATGTGAATATTCCGACTAGACCCTGGGAAGCACAGCAGTTGTATTCTTTCGTGCTTCTAACGATTCCCTGGGAGGAGGAAAAAATAAACCGATACTAGTAGTCTGCCTGGCTAGAAATTACTCCCAATATGGTAATAGTTGTGTACAGTATTTCAGTAAGGTTACCATAGAAGATGACTCAAACTTAGGCCCATCACTCTTTACTCTTCCTAATTGTGAGAATGTGATGAGAGAGTGTGACAGATAACGAGCAAGTGCACAGATAAGACGACTTTTGCCCCAGGCTGTTGCTCGGAAAACCCCTGTGTTTACACGAAGCGAGGATATGCCCCGTGCTTCTTGGTGATATGTACCTGTGATGTTACCTTCTGTTCTATTCATTAGAGCTTGCTGCTGTTGCGTGATGGTTTAGCGCACGGGGCTTGCAATGAAGAGATTGGCGATTTTACTCAGTCTCGCGGCATGTTAGTTCAAAACTACGGGCACGTTTTTATAATCACCGCAGCTCTATCCACCCATCAGTATAAATCGTGACACCACAGGTGGCATATGGTGGAATACATGTGGATACATCCACTTATCCCAAGACGTCTGGCCAGTGTTGAAGAGTAGGCCAAAATACCCTCTGTAGGGTCTTTTCTAGGGCCCCCTCTCGTGGAGGTCCTTCCACCAGCAGTGGTGTGAGCGAGCCATTGCGTGGCTGCACCTCTCTTTCCATCTTGATTTAGGTAACTGCAGTGTTATTGTAATGTTACTTGGTATGAACTTGGTTTGGGTAACATTCGTGAAGATGCAAACTTTCGTTTCACTAACATTGCGTTCGGTGGAGGGTTCAGTATGAATTGCAGTTTTGCATCTGGCCCCTCAGCAGAGGCTCCACTCTTCCACAGAGTTAGCAGTTGTCAGTAAGTGGTGGTGGTGTAAAGTGCGACTGTGTGGGAGGACTAGTTCCGTGTGAAGAAGTTCGGTTTGCTGTGCGGATCCCCACGCCTGGTTCACGCGCTGAGCCGCTGCATGGCCCGTGTGGACTCGGAGCGAAGGTTTTCTTTTCTAGAAAATATTATCTACGGCGTATAATTTGCATATCATTTGGATACATTTAAACACATCGATTTTGCACACACGAACCAATTCATGTATTATAAGCTATTCATTGATTAATCGACGCATCATTACACCCATAATTCTTTATGACAGGCTGTCAAAACTCCATTAAGTTCTGTGTCATCATCCCTTGCCTAAAATCAGAAGAACAGTCATCATCAAGCAGACGCATATTCTGTTGTTTTTTTGTAAGACACGTTCCGTATGGTTATGCATCACCAGTGAGTTTGCAGTGCGGAGGAGTGTGCCTTAATATCTGTGGTCGTTTCTTATGGCTGGTTTGAAGCATGCACTGGAGGAGAAACGTTGTGGTTATTATTAATTTGTTGACTTGTTAAAATGTTGATCCGCCACAAGAACAACACGGCGACCATTTTTATCAGCTTGCTGTACTCTCTCTGGACTTTACAATACTGTGAGTCTCACTGGTGGATCAATGCTTTCATTTACTTGATTCTAATTTAAATCCCGGTTTATAATTATGTTTTTTTTTACTGATTGCAACAATCCTATTCAAGCACGGTCCACTCTTCAATGAGCACAAGGGAGTTGAGCAATGCACAGTTTGACATAGGGAGGGAACAACACATCGATTCATTGATTGATATTGATTTGCTTTTAGCACACGTTACATGCATCAAATCGCATGCATTACAATGCCATTTGATTCGTATGCGTCTGTGACAATATCACCGGCAATGTACCAGATCTCAGAAACTAAGGACGGTTGACTACGTACGATAGTGCTTGGCTTGGCGACTATCATCATGTGTTTGGCGGCTGGGGGGTATCGTCAGCAGAGGGCAGCGCATCAAAACATTTTTGTCCTCTACAAAAACCTTGCGGCCCCCCCTTACCCAACCCACAATGACCAGGATGGTAAAGTATGTTCGAATAACCCCCAGGACCCGCACAATGTGAGGACACCCTCATCCAGAAGTTGGTTGACAACAGAGCTGTACATGTACGTACATTACAGAAACACTGCACTGTTGCAGTCCTTGCAGCCACTAGAGGCGCCATACTTACCGTACTATAAACAAAAAATTGATTCTTGCATAAAATCACGCAATTTATTGAATCGCCGTGGGAATTGATTGTGCCTCCCCTAGTTAGATTGTTCACCTCAGCTGAAGATGTGGAAACCTATCTGGATGATAACCTTTCCTGTGGTCACCAGCTTAACCGCTGCTCATAGCCACATTTTTGAATGAGCGTTATCTACTTTCGTTTTGTAATTGTTTTTAACCGTCAGTTAGGTTTTGTGCATTTAGGGGTCTGCGGTGAAGTCCACACCTTCCACA